ATGCATTGAGACACATGAGTGCTGTGCCATGGTTCTGTGTATAGCCCTCTGCCAGTTCGGTGATGTTGATCAGTCGCTGCTAATTTCCAGTGCCAGTGTCAAATAGAATTACTACATTTGGCATTGTGAGGGCGTAGTGCAGTAGGATGAAGAAAACATCACTGTCTGGACTTTTGATTCGGATGTACTCGTATCCCATGTCCTTTCCATACATGCAGTACAGAACTATTCTGAAATAAGTTTCCTCTCAGAATGAACGTAGAGTTTCGATCTCCATCTTCACTGTGCTTTGTCCATCTGCAGACGTCAGCTGGTATGCAGCTCCTTCACTTGTGATGATGACTTTTCTTCCAATGAGCTTATTGGAATATGAATGATTACTCCACGTCTTGCAGAGGAGATTTATGAATTGTGTCTTGTTGTCATCATTTGTCAGGAACTGCTTCCAATCAGGAGGTTACTTTGTGCTTCTCACTACAGCCCCTTCTTTCACGTTCCATGGATTTGAAAGAATTGGGAGTATACATATCTGAGCTGAACACCGCATCTGTTGTCGTTGACATCATGCCAAAAATCTTGTTGCAGATCAAGCTGAAATTTGCTGTTATCTCCTTGAGGTAATAGAAGTAGGCATTACCGTCATGGACCACAAGTTTTGACAGCCGATGGAACCGGTGCATCCTCACATTCTTTGGTCAGATACTGGAAAGATTTAGATTTGTCTGTCTTTTCCAGAAATCCATCTGCTGTTCCAATGCTGTATGGGACAGGGGTCAGTGGGTACGTCATCATCTTATTCATGTCCAACTGCAAGCCCTGCCTTTGGGATTTCACAAATAGTTGGAAGGCAATATTGCCTTGTTGCTTATACTGGACCGCTTTGTTGTTTGCCACAATAGTTCACCTTCAGTTTCTCACTACGGTAGTAAGGATTGGCGAACTCCGTATCTTGCGGGCTCGAAATATAGACCTGAACAAGCTCACACATTGTGACAATCTGTTTGTCACATATCACATCTTTCTTAATCTTACCACACACATTCTGATACGCAGTCATATGTGCCAGTTCAAGCTTTTCCTGCTCTGTCCTCTTCTCGTCATCAGTACTTCTCCATTGCTTTGGGTCTGTAATGTATTTGACTCTACAGCTCTTGTGAAATTGAGCTTCGCATGCAAACAAAGCATGTCCTCTAATTCTAGTCAAGAGTTGTTCATCGGATTTCTGATCTGCTACTTCTAGAACTCTTCTCCAACCATCAAACTCAATTGAAATGTTCCTTCACTTGTCCAGTTACCCTTCACCTTGATTTTTTTTTCGCCCTTCGGCGTTACAGAATATACAATTGGGCTTGAAGATAGTGGTATCACTGTCCTTTGAAGATCGCCGACTTGTTCTAGATGTACATGTTGCTTCTGGCGTGTCTGGAGGAATCTCAAGGCGATTAAGATTCATGGTGAACCTCTGATAACATTCACGATGATATCCAACAGAGTCTGTACATGTTTCGAGAATGAGGTCGCACACTTGATGCATTCTATATATAGAACCGACTGGCTGGCAAAATCTTCGGGATCGTATTTCTTTTATTTTGTCCAATGTTTTGTTGCCGTCTTTCATGTTCACGAATAACTGCAGTTGTCCACATTTTAATCCTTGAATATCGATGACACATTTGTTTTCATATCGGACGTTGATGCTTTACAATTTTCATCATGCCTTCTCTTTGACGGCGGGCCATCATCTTTTGGGGGATCCTGGGTATCGGAGGAACCTGTCATCATTGCCCTTGTATGTATCAAAACCAATCACTATATGCTTGATCTTTATCATACAAAAATGCTATTCTACACTTGCTTTTGATTTCGTATTAGGTCGGTACACTCTCAGAATGGGGGGTCCACAGTGGTGATCAGTCACTGCGCGTCGGTGGTGGGTCTCCAGCTACACGCGTCCCTCATCATCCAAACCCAACAGGATGCCCTCTCTGCTGCCCTGGTGAGCCGCTGCACTGCCCTTCTTCTAGTACACTGAACATTCTCCAAACAGATGGTGCTGGGAAGCCTCTGCACCCAATCTCTACCGGGAAGTTCCAAGTTTTCCAGCCTTTCTCCCTGCATTCTGCCAGTAGCTCTTCATACTTGGCTTTCTTCCTCTCATGGGCTGCTTCTGGTTTTCCTCCCATGGTATGGTCAACTCAATGACGGCAATCTTCTTTGTTCCTGATGACCAAAGGACTAGATCTGGTCTGAGGTTAGTTGGTACAATATCTTTCCTGTTGGTAATGTTTCCCTTGCCTTCACAAACTGTATGGTTTTAGGTCTTGGTGCCTTCTGCTTAATCCTGCTCACCCTCTCCCTTTCCAATATGTCTGTCAGCTCTCGTAGGACCTGATTATGCCACCACGTGTACCGTCCCTGTGATAGAGCAACACTTCAGGAAGATAGTATATGCTCCAAGTTCCCTCTCCTTTCACAAAGGGGGCAATTCGGGTTGTCGGTCAGGCTCCCTCTCTCTAGGTTGGCAGGTATAGGCAGTGTGTCATAAACTGACCGTAGAAGAAACCTCAGCTGGTAATGAGGGTACCTCCAAAGTTCTTTCCATGTAAGCGATCTTTGTTCTGTGGTCCATCTGGTTCACGCCCCCTGGCTTTCCATTTCGACGGTCTTTGCTTGCCTACTCTCTTCCTTCTTGGATCGAATCTCTCTCTGGATCATGCCCCTTCTCTCTGTACCTGCATCTTTCCAGTAGGTCGTTTTCGTCATCCCTAGGCTTACTTTGTGCGACTGATCCAACAATATCCTTATGTCGGAGTCTACATTCCGCCTCGTCTACTGCTTTGCTAGCTAACCACTTCCTCCCTGTTCTTACTTGTACTCCTGCCATCCGAACTTTCTCATCCCTAGAGTCTCGTAGGGTCATTATCAGCCTTGACTTTCCCACCTTAAATTCCTCCACTATCGAGATGATTGGTAATTGGAGTTTGGCTTTTCTGCTGTAGAGGCCAAACGATGTGAAACTTGGTAGTACACCAAGCCACTTCCGAAGATTAAATGTTAAATTTGGTCGAAAAATAACGATGCACGGTGGACCCTTCTAGCTCCTGGACTACACCGATTGCTGTTTTGATCGGGGATTGCCGAGTTCATAAAATAACGGACCCTCGTTTTATCCCGCTGTTTTGAGATCGTTTCTTATATGATGTATGATTATTAGCCAAACTTAATTTGCCAACCATGTTTCAGGGTTTTTTCTAAATGATCTCTTGTTTTACGCTTTACGCATGACATGGCGGAATAAATGAATTTGAATTAATCTGAATCTAAAATTGCATGCATAAAGACATTGTTTACACGTTCCGGACGATAATGATATGAATTAGTGGTAGGTTGCTCCTATTTTATTCTGATTTTTTTTACGTTGTTAATAAAATGGTTTTGCAAATTTTAAACATCATAATCAACAGAAAGTACATAATTTTAACAGATATTTAAATGTTATAATGTTTTTTATCAGTTATAAAATGAATATTTAATTATGTAGTGCCTTTCAGTTTTCAATTTGTGTTGCAGAGTAACGTTGTGATACGCAATCCGGTCTATTGCTAGATTTCAATCCCAGTACAAATACAAGCTAATGCAATAATATACATTTAGCTGTACTTACCTGTTTGATAATTTCAGATAATGAAAGAAAACGACTTTCAAATCGTTGATGGTTTTTTTCTTTATTTCAAGAATAAACTGATCCGAAATCGATCAACATATCTTAAATATGATTTGTTGTACATGTACGCAATTGTTCAGAAACCGTTGAGTGTCGTAAATGTGCTATATAGTCCAAAATTATCAATAGTTCAGTTTATCATTTAAAGTGATTTTTCATTTTTAACGTTCTTCATAGAAGACGTTGTTTACAAGTTTGAAGTAAAACTGCATAATGTACACATCAAAACAACATTATATCAGTTTTTTTTTATAAACGATATTCAGATCTGCTAGCAACGACCTTAACACATTTATGGTTATATATTCTATTGGCCAGTTAATGTGATAAATAATGACAGTTAATTGAGAATTCTGGGCAAAGTCTGAATTAGTTGGTTTTCTCTTTAATATTTTTTTATTTGATGTCTAGATTCAATTAATTAAAATCGAACGGCATAGAATAGCTTAATACAACTTATAGTAATTCAGGAGCATTAATATTCTAATTTATATATATGTTAGCACAGGAGACGAAGGTTGGCAGTAAGTTGAAAAAATGCATCCGAATACACCATATTGCAGAAAAGCGCGTGAACATTTATATTTGTTTTATTTTATTTATTTTTTTTATTTTATTTTATCTATTTTTTTTTTTTTTTTTTTACATTTGCTTAAGAAGAACGGGGTTTGCCTGTCTTACATTACACTGACACACTTGCTATACTTGGTATACGGATAAACAAATTTTGCTTGGAAAAATATTACTATTAACCATCCATTCTAAAAAGACACACATCTACATATTATGTTTCTACTAGATAGTACATAAACAAAGCCATATCTAAACCAAACTGTGATTCTAGTGGGGTTAAATCTCGGTTACTGTTGTATTATACTTAAAGCGATGAAGGTGAAACATTTTATACATGCATGGTGTCTGCGTCATAATCTCTTTCTCAATAAAATGGTTATCAAGACAACTTGATTTATCGGAGACAATAAGTTTCCATTAAGAGCCTAACCTCTTTTCTTGCAATCAACAGCAGTGCAACGGTTACCCATCACAACTGTAATGCTGATTAAGCTGTACAACATAGCATAAACATACAAGTAGCAATACACGTACATGTTAATTTGTGTATAAAGGACCGAGACATTTATTTTGGGTGTTCTAAAAATATGGATTAATTTTATCTGTTATCTGTTGCCAACGTGTTAATTTATTTCCGGATTATGCGTGTCCGTGAAATAGTCAGAGTTTAGACGAAGTCAGCATCTTTCCGGTTGATAAAGGGAAAACCATTGAAAGAATGCTGTTTTGAACGACAGTTTGATACCGTTCGGACTATTAAGAAGCGTACATTTCTTTTCAGGTAGGTACATATATTTTTAAGATATACTGATGAACTGACGGTGATATTACAATTTGCAAAATGCATAACGAATGAAAAAGCGATTGATCAATAGTTGGCTTGTGTTATCAGCTCCGCTCGGAGCCTTGGTATGTGTTTATGTTTTTGAAATTTGCTCGTGATCATTACTACAGCACGCAGTTTATTACACTTTTCAAAAATCTCTCATATTTGTTTCAGTGATATTTAAGTGACATGGGTAACAACATATCAAATATATAAATCGGAATCTTTCAAACGCAGAAATGATACTTTTGGATACAAGTTCTATTGTTTTCATAAGAGTTGTGTCATAGCCTCATAGGAGTGATATTTTGTCAAGTTCCAAATTTAAACTAAATTCTGTGTTTAGAATTATGATAAATAATGATTGTCACCAATCAGAATGTCCATTGTTTTGACACTTTTGAGTTCTGTCATGAAAGTGAATCCTTATTTTTTATTGGAATGCATAAATTGTACATTTACAGAAATGGCTCGCCTGCAAGAGCTATTGAGTATCAAGGAGGATTTTGGTTCAATGATTGACAGGATCCAACCATGGATACTGTCACACTTTATTATGTGGCTGGATCTCAAGATTGCAGAGTACAAAGTATATGGCTACATGATGCTGGGTCAGTATTTTACATGGAAATGAAAACATTGGATACTGTAGCTTCTCATGACTATATAACCAATAATACATAATCTGAAACTATGATGATTTGTTAGTTTAAAAAAGCTAAATATTATGATACCAAGCATTCAAATTTTTCACACTACATATTTCCTTCATATTTTATCACGATTAATATGTATGTTTTATCAAGATATTTATGCTGCTTGAAAACTTGTCTTATTAAATACATTCACATATTTCATGCCAATAATATGACATCTATAAATTGATACTTATTGAAAATGTAGAAAATTAATGAGAAAAGAATGTTTCAATTATTGTTATTTCGTTTTAAAACAGATGAGTCCGGTATTGATGGGTTTGGAAGTAACACAGGTCGCAGCAGTCAGAGCCCAGACTTGTCTCCCCTTGCACGATCAACTCCACCAAAGACACGTCGTCAAGGTACACAAGTTGTTCCTAAGCCTCTCTCACCAAAGAACATTCAAAGTAGCATATCTAGACGGTATCAAGCTGAAAAGGATGGACATTATCAGACCATGAATTCTTTATTTTTGAATTCATATCCAAAAAAGCAAGGAATGGAAAGGAATTTTCCACAGAGAAATGAGATCCAATTATCACCAGAAAAGTCTGTGGTTCATGCAGATCTTCATGTGCAGAATGTCAGGCAACTTCAAACGAATATCGATGAAAGGTCAGATATGTATCTTGGATTCATACCAAATCAAGAAAGTCCTGATCAAAGATTTGTTGACAGATTGACAACTGGAATGAAACGCCCAGCTACAGACTCTCCTGATTCTAGTCAAAGTCTGACACACACCAATACCTCATGTGGCAGTCGACAGCAGGATAGTGACAATGGGACAACAGCACTTTATAAAAGTCAGCAATTCAGTACACTCATATCTGACTCTAGACCCCAGAAATTTGATCAAATAGACAGATGGAATGTTGGAGATAAACCTGGACAGCATATGCCCACCAATGATTCAAATGTTAATGAAGAAAATCAGATGTTGAAAAATGTTACAGTAATCGACCTAGCGGATAGTTCTCAGAGACAAAGTGAACACAGTGTTAGTGGTACACAAGAGGAAGGATATGTTCAAGACAGTGATATGAATCCTGAGATAAATACAGATAATTCACAGTCACAACAGCCATCAATGGAAGAAGGTGATGGACATCCTTCAGAACAGGTACTTTCATTAAGTCATTAAACAACAGATTCCTATGTCTATGTATAATATTGCAAACATGTCAGTTCACCCACAATTTGTACTTCAATCACACTGAATTTGGAAAATAGTATGATTAGACCTTACTGCAGGTATTTAATTGAATTTTTCCAAAATGAATGTAATAACATTATCTTTGTTTTTCAGTCAAATTCAAACACAGAATTTGATCACAGCAGCCAGTCTTTGAAAGAAGAGGACACAAGTGATCAAAAGCCATTTTCGCCAGTAGTCATAAAGATTGAATCTGATGGAGAAGATCTAGCAAGCTTTGCACAGTCAGAAAACACACCTGGAGTTATGTCCCTTGAAAATCAGCACTCTTCAGATATTTCAAATTTCAAATCATTGTATATGGATGATGGTTCATTGTCGATGGCGACAGGAAGTAGCAGCAGTTCTGTTGTGCCAGTTGAGCTTGTCCCACATGGGAATCTTCCATCCATGTCACTGAATGATATCAACTTGAATTTGTCACACGGTAAGTAAATTAATTGTAAGGTATAAAATGTTGTAAAGATATTTTATTTTGTAATGTTATCCTAAAGCATCATTTCACGGGATAAACAGTATCTTTTTTCATATGTTTTTTGTCAGAGTCTCAAATTTTCATTAGATGATGTGTTGATAAATCATCTCGCTGATAAACACTAGCAATGTTTTAACCAACAAACCTATCCGGTACTCCTAATAAGATAAGACAGATATTTCAGTGGTGAAAAGCATTTTGTTGTCCTAAACATAATCACCTTCAATGATAAAATTTATCAATAATGATAACATGGATCATGATTCAGTTTTGATACTGCATATCTAAATAATATGTTTTCTTGTCTTAAGGAATGTTTACAAAGAAAAGACGATATGTGCGGACAAAACCATTTGGCTCTTCACCCTCCTGTGTTCCTAGAGATCCTGTTTCTGGAAAATTTATTTGTACAATTTGCAATGGTAAATTTCAAAACAGATCTTCCTTTTTCCGCCACAAGTCTCTCCATGGTGAAAAGCGTCTCCAGTGTTTTGTGTGCTTAAAGAGGTTTCATAGAAAGGAACATGCATCAATGCATATGAATCGCCATGGTAAAAACGGAGAACTGATTTGTCCAATATGTCAGATGATTGGCCGTGATACTGTTGAAATGGAACAACATTTTTGTTTGGTGCATAAAGTGCGAAGCATGTATACATATAGAATTAACAGTGATGTGGCAAATCAAGATCTATCCTATTCAGGGCAAACTTACAGTGAGGGCATGGAAAATGATCCTTCTTTACAGACCTTTTCTGGCCCAAGCTTCAGTGCTGAAGGACTAAACAATGATTCCTCATTACCCGTCACAGGCACATGATTGTCCGAAAACCTTGTCATATATATTCTTGTGCAATTAAGACATTCATTACATATATACCCAGGTGCAAAAGTAAATATACATGTAGTCAAAATTGAATTTTTTTTTTAAAGATGTAAATGATCAGTTTATCTTTCCTACATTATTTGCTTGTACTGTTGAATATGATTAGCGAATACAATGCATTTTCCAATGTTATTAACTGTATAATTATTAATTTCTATGCCGGAAATATATCATCCTGAACTTCACTGTAAACTTACTTTTGCACTTACCACAGTAAATAGATGTTGAACTTTGTTATACTGTATATAAATGTCTGATATCATTTTTTCTTCAAATTCCTATATTTTATGGTATACATGTTAAATTTGAAAATTTTAGATATCAAAGTCATTGTTGATTACACATATATGCTAGTCAATGAAAGGCTACCAGCCATAGAAGTTCGTTAATAATTTATTTTATAGAAATAATAGACAGGAAACTGAACCATGGAAGTGATTGTTTTTGGAGTTCTTGTGTGAAGTATGTGTAGGGGTTTCACTAGAGTAATCCTAAATTAAATGGTACAAATGCAATTTTATTATTAACTTGATTTAAGTGTTTTGTGGAATATGCATGCTAATGCTATAGCTAGTAGCAACAAGAAACGATCATTGGCAACTTGGTATGATCATAATTTGTTGGATGAAAAACGGAAAGTGTATTATCATAAACTATTAGTCATGATGACCTGATAAGAAGCCCAGTTGTATCTGTTACAGTGCAGCAGAATTAACTTCTTCATTATTCTATAGTGAACCCATTTTGAGAATTTTGAAGTCAGAGATAATGTATCAGCTGAATGAACTCTGGCTTAAAATTAACTAATTAGGTATGGAAGTAGTACTGGTAATGATGCATATAAAAGGTTCTATTCTTTTGTATGGCTGATTTTTTTATCTTTAGTGGTTGTCTATGTGAAATATCAGTGTGTGTGTTTCTATATGGATGTTTGTATTAGATTTGAAGCTGTGTAGAGATGAAATTTCAACCTTTTTTTATTAGTGATTTCATATGCATTAGATACCTGGGTACATAAAAGACTACACTCAATAAAACTGTAAAAATGACAGCTTGTTCAAATGCTGTCTATATCATCTAAATAACTAATTGTTCAATCTATATGTCTTTTTTTGAGTACCTTCATAATATCAAAGATCTCTAGATCTCTGGATTTCTTTAGTTCATTTTAAACACTCCGTTTCGAAGAAATAACACTGTGTTCTGCATCTAACATTATGTCAGATCAGAAATTATCTATCCTCAATTTTCTTACTTGGTAATTAATTATTGTGGATGATTAATATTTACAGACCTTGTAATTTTAAAGTCTGTCTTTCAAAGATGTTTTGTATGCAAAAAATTACCTAAGTACAGATCGCATACAAGTATACTTTCAGGGAATTTGAAATAACCAAGGGGTGTTTTCCAATTACATCTTTATTCACTTTCAAATTTTAGACTCTTACAGATGTATAACTGTTTAAAGTTATATTTGCTTGACTTTATTAAAAGATGCTAAATTGATTTACTGTAAACATACTTAATTTAGCACAGTCAGATATAAGTGCATTTGATTTATCACTTTTTGGCAATTAACCTTTACATTTTAGGACAACACTTACAGTATGAAAGTATTAAAACCAGCACACTGCTAAAATCATTACATTTACAATTACCTTGTTTTGGCAAAAAATTCTTCGTAATAAGTCTTCCAAGTTTAATAATACATGTATTACCTCTTGTACATGATATAAATTGCGCTTTCAAAATTCCTTTGCTTAGTTACCCTTCTATCTCAAAATAGTTTCCAATGCAACTAATAAATGTTTACAACATAAAAACAAATTATGCAAAAACACTTTTCCAAAGCTATGTTCAAAATTAATTCCCATTTTTTTTAATAGTTAAAGAGATGAGAAATGATATCCCAACATATTCAAAACAGTATACATATCCTTTTCCTGTACTGAAGTAGTTTGAAATATAGTAGATTTGAGACACAGAATTGGCTTCTGTTTACTATAAATTCAGAGTAAATGTTGAGGTATTTTGATACATCAATTATGTCATTAGATATTCTACACAACTACAATTAATCTGTCTAACTGATAGAATAGTCGCTCCTTATTTGGTTATCTGCTGTAATTTTGTATATGTGTTGTGTTTAAGTTGTATTGATGTTTGTAAGATCTTGTGATAACAAAATTTATAAAACAGTATGTGTGTCTTTGTCTTTGTATCTTTTTAAGGCAGTCAAGTAAATAAATCTTCCAACTAAATTCTGGTGTTCCTGATGCTTTTAATGTAAATGGCTGCTGTCAAACAAAAACCTCCGCAGAGAAACGATGATTATAAGCTTAAATATGCTTAATTTGATAAGTTCATTATGTAGATGATACAGTGTTGACACATTACTTCAAGTAGGTGGGTCAGCTCATACCATGCAATGAAAAAGCTTTGACTAATAATTTTAGTAAACAACTATACCTGCCAGTAACTTGGTTCTTTAAATTTTTGCAACTAATAGGACACACGTAAGTATTTTATAAACTAGTTATAAGTGATGAGGACAACATAACTAGAGTTAATAACATAGGAGGTCATTTAGATGTCATCTATGAAACAGTTAATTACAAGGTACCCATCTGCAACCTGTGGTCTTATTCTGCAAAAAATCTCAATGCAGATACATGTACCTACACATAATTAAACAAAAGTCACTTTATATCGATCCATTTGTGATGGTACAATGTACTTTCTTACTTTCATGATTTGCTCTCCAATATTGAAAAGCATTTCCTTGGAGACAGAGTTAATATTACATGTAGATTTTCTTGGTCATGTCATAGTCGATGTTGAAGACCATTTTTGTTTTAGTACAAAAAGATTAAATGTGATGGTATTCATATGACCAATTAGATGGATTAAACAAATATTAATATCGCCCCAAACTTTAATCTATATTTTAGTGGAAGTCTATAGCACACTAGAAAAAACATCATCAAGAGTAGGTAGGTGGTGTCTATGTCTATGTGTCCATGTAGGTAGATAGGAGATGTCTCTGTCCATGTAGGTAGATAGGCGGTGTCTATGTCCATGTAGGTAGATAGGTGGTGTCTATGTCCATGTAGGTAGATTGATGTCTCTGTCCATGTAGGTAAATGGGTGGTGTCTATGTCCATGTAGGTAGATAGGTGGTGTCTGTGTCTATGTAGGTAGATAGGTGGTGTCGATGTCCATTTAGGTAGATAGGTGGTGTCTGTGTCCATGTAGGTAGATAGGTGGTGTCTCTCTCCATATAGGTAGATAGGCGGTGTCTATGTCCATGTAGGTAGATAGGTGGTGTCTATGTCCATGTAGGTAGATAGATGTCTCTGTCCATGTAGGTAAATGGGTGGTGTCTATGTCCATGTAGGTAGATAGGAGATGTCTGTGTCCATGTAGGTAGATAGGTGATGTCTATGTCCATGTAGGTAGATAGATGTCTCTGTCCTTGTAGGTAAATGGGTGGTGTCTATATCCATGTAGGTAGATAGGTGGTGTCGATGTCCAGGTAGGTAAATGGGTGGTGTTTATGTCCATGTAGGTAGATAGGTGATGTCTGTGTCCATGTAGGTAGATAGGAGATGTCTATTTCCATGTAGGTAGATAGGTAATATCTGTGTCCATGTAGGTAGATAGATGTCTATTTCCATGAAGGTAGGTAGGAGATGTCTATGTCCATGTAGATAGATAGGCTATGTCTCTGTCCATATAGGTAGATAGATGTCTCTGTCCATGTAGGTAAATGGGTGGTGTCTATGCCATGTAGATCAATAGGTGGTGTCTGTGTCCATGTAGGTAGATAGGTGGTGGTTATGTCCATGTAGGTAGATAGATGGTGTCTGTGTCCATGTAGGTAGATAGATGGTGTCTGTGTCCATGTAGGTAGATAGGTGTGTCCATGTAGGTAGATAGGTGGTGTTTATGCCCATGTAGGTAGATAGATTGTGTCTGTGTCCATGTAGGTAGATAGATGTCTCTGTCCATGTAGGTAAATGGGTGGTGTTTATGTCCATGTAGGTAGATAAGTGATGTCTATGTCCATGTAGGTAGATAGATGGTGTCTGTGTCCATGTAGGTAGATAGGTGGTGTTTATGCCCATGTAGGTAGATAGATGGTGTCTGTGTCCATGTAGGTAGATAGGTAATATCTGTGTCCATGTAGGTAGATAGATGTCTATTTCCATGAAGGTAGGTAGGAGATGTCTATGTCCATGTAGATAGATAGGCTATGTCTCTGTCCATATAGGTAGATAGATGTCTCTGTCCATGTAGGTAAATGGGTGGTGTCTATGCCATGTAGATCAATAGGTGGTGTCTGTGTCCATGTAGGTAGATAGGTGGTGGTTATGTCCATGTAGGTAGATAGATGGTGTCTGTGTCCATGTAGGTAGATAGATGGTGTCTGTGTCCATGTAGGTAGATAGATGGTGTCTGTGTCCATGTAGGTAGATAGGTGGTGTTTATGCCCATGTAGGTAGATAGATGGTGTCTGTGTCCATGTAGGTAGATAGATGTCTCTGTCCATGTAGGTAAATGGGTGGTGTTTATGTCCATGTAGGTAGATAAGTGATGTCTATGTCCATGTAGGTAGATAGATGGTGTCTGTGTCCATGTAGGTAGATAGGTGGTGTTTATGCCCATGTAGGTAGATAGATGGTGTCTGTGTCCATGTAGGTAGATAAGTGATGTCTATGTCCATGTAGGTAGATAGATGTCTCTGTCCATGTAGGCAAATGGGTGGTGTTTATGTCCATGTAGGTAGATAGATGGTGTCTGTGTCCATGTAGGTAGATAGATGGTGTCTATGTCCATGTAGGTAAATGGGTGGTGTTTATGTCCATGTAGGTAGATAGATGGTGTCTGTGTCCATGTAGGTAGATAGATGGTGTCTATGTCCATGTAGGTAAATGGGTGGTGTCTATGTCCATGTAGGGGTATTCCAATGAAATTGATTTTGTGAACAACTTTCAGACAATAATCCATTACAATGTAGGACAGTTGTCTTTATTTTTTCTGTTATGTCCACTCAAGTCACAAATAAGATTAAGAACATGGTACGTTAAGTTGATCTTTTTAATCAACAGTAATTGTATCTTAGTTACAAGTTATGTACATTTGATTTCAATTGTTTGTTCTTTGTTTAATCTTACCTTACTGCTGGCTCACAAAATATCTGCATTCTGCACTAGTGATTGGATAATGACTAGATAAAATTGATTACCTAAATTCTTAACCTCATTTGATGCGATGATCTCATAACTGATCATCGGTACCTGTATTCTTTTCTGTGTTTAAGCAAAAACAAAATTCACATTGATATGTATAACGAAGATGCAGTTGCTAATAATATTCACTTTAACACAAATTCTAGGTAAGTGAGGTATTTCATTTTATTGTTACAAAAAATGACAAGAGGCCCAATGGGCCTGGAGCACTCATCTGGTAATACCAGCCAAATTCCATGCCTTTCAGCCTTTAAGTTCATGAGTAGAAGTCATTTACATGTTTTCAAAAATTTGATTTATTTTTCATTTATTTTTTTTTCCAAACTTTATTGGAATTCCTCCTAGGAAAATCCAAACCAAATTTTATGCCTCTAGGCCTATGCATTAATGAGAAAAAGTTGTTTAAAGGTTTTAACAAATCTGAACCCTGTCACCTTGAATATAAGTCAAATTCATTTATTTTGGCAAACTTTTCCTGGATTCATCCTAGGGTCATACTGCCAAATATCATGCCTCAAGGCCTTTTAGTTCGTAAGAAGAAGTTGTTTAAATGTGTGAACAAATCTGACCCCTATGATTTTGAATTTGGGTCAAAGTCATTTGTTGTGACTCTGTGGGGCTTCATCATAAGAATATTCCAGCCAAATATGCCTCAAGGCCTTTTAGTTCATGAGAAGAAATCACTTGAATGTTTTAACAAATCTGGACCCTGTGACTTTGAATATTGGTCAAGATCACACAGTCAAATATTATGGCTATAGACCTTTTAGTTCATAAGAAGATTGTTGAATGTTTTAACGAATTTGACCCCTGTGCCTTGAATATATATCAAGGTCATTTCTATTTGCAAACTTTGTCTGTCTTCTGTCTTTACCTTAGGAATATACCAGCCAAATATCAAGCTTCAAGGGCTTTTAGTTCACGAGAAGAAGTTGTTTGAAGGTTTAAACAAATCTGACCCTTATGAACCAGAATATATGTCAAAGCCAAATATCATCTCTTTTCCCAAACTTTGCTGGGCTTCATCCTAAAAACATACAAAAAACAAAGTCAAATATCAAAACACTTGGTCCATTGGTTATTGAGTAGAAGTTGTTTAATGAAGAAAGTTGATGCCGGACAGACAATGCGCCATGGCATAAGCTCACTTGACCTTTCATGCCAGGTAAGCTAAAAAAATACAACTATTCACCTTGAAATGCTTTGATTAGAAATCAATACTGATTAAGTATCAAATATGACATTTCGTTTGTTTATGAAAAAAAAACATGCAATTACTAAAGACAACCCAATATATCTTCTGATGTAACAAACACATGAGCCAGAGAAAATTGTGATGCACTGGTAAACATTATGTCATGTTTCTTTGCAAAAAATGTAACATAATGTGTGAAAACCTCTTCATACAGCTGAGTTTTACACAATAAGACTTCTACATCGTAAAACCTCTTCATACAGCAGAGTTTTACACAATAGGACTTCTACATCATAAAACCTCTTCATACAGCAGAGTTTTACACAATAGGACTTCTACATCATAACTTCTACACCCTCTTCATACAGCAGAGTTTTACACAATAGGACTTCTACATCGTAAAACCTCTTCATACAGCAGAGTTTTACACAATAGGACTTCTACATCATAAAACCTCTTCATACAGCAGAGTTTTACACAATAGGACTTCTACATCATAAAACCTCTTCATACAGCAGAGTTTTACACAATAGGACTTCTACATCATAAAACCTCTTCATACAGCAGAGTTTTACACAATAGGACTTCTCCTCTTCATACAGCAGAGTTTTACACAATAGGACTTCTACATCATAAAACCTCTTCATACAGCAGAGTTTTACACAATAGGACTTCTACATCATAAAACCTCTTCATACAGCAGAGTTTTACACAATAGGACTTCTACATCATAAAACCTCTTCATACAGCTGAGTTTTACACAATAGGACTTCTACATCATTCAGAGTGTATTCAGAGTTGATACCTTAGAATCAGTATGTTTTTCACCTTAAGGAATGGCTAGAGAATGCTTTATAATGAATAAAACTGGAGTAGCAAACTACAAAATGAAAAAAAAAAAAAAAAAAAATGAAAAAACAACTCCGCAACAACAACTTGTATAAAAGTGGAAAAAGATATTAGGTTTACCCTATTTAATTATTTTGGAGTTCTGTGGTCAAGTGGATATCTTTGCTGTAGTACCACTTACAAATTCAACAACAAAGATGTGTGTGCTAAATTAAATCAATATCGACAGATCAATTTGTCTAGATATAGGCATCAAGTTACAAATGTGCATGACTTTTAACAGATACAGTAGTAAATATATAAGCCAATGGAATATTGATTTTGATTGGGAATTATTACAGTGTTCCAAAAACAACCGTTTACACTTAATATCCAAAGTCATCATATTCTGACATGCCACATACAGTGTATAAACACAAACATATCTGGTTTATCATACATTTTTACTGAAGCAGCTGGACACTTTTATCTCTCAATGAAAACAGACAAATGCATGTATAATTATTTCAAACATTTTTTTCCAAAATCAAAATGTATTCATTAACTTAACAGATAAATCAAGTGTTAGTAAAAATGCATCACTCATCCATGTCACACATGTAATATTCTAGATGTCATTTAATATCATAAATCAAATCCTTCATCACATGAGCTTAATAGTGATATGCATTAAATAATGAAGTTATTATAATAAGAGAGAATAAAAATCACTCTAAAAGAAATAAACATAATGTCTCAATTCAAACAAGATATCACTTCAGACAATAATGGAAAAATTGACCCTAGCTTTCAGATTTACCTATTTTTCTTTGAAAAAAATCAGATATGCTATAAATTAAGTGAAATTTGATTATCTTCTCAATTTTTGCATTCTTTACAAGAGGCCTAAGGGGCCTTAATGGTCACCTGAGGAATATATGTCAATAATCTGGGGATTTTAAAATGTTGCAAAAATGTAACAACACTTGTGCAGGACCGTGTGCAAAACATCTGTACAAAGTTTTAACATGATCCACCCAGTGGTTCTTGAGAGGAAGTCCAAAATGTCTTAGCCAAACAGAGGCCAGGGTGGCTATCTTGGATTTTGAATCACAACAAAAAGTTAAAACACCTAACAGGACCTTGTGTAGAACATTCGTATCAAGTTTAGACATGATCAACCCAGTGGTTCTTGGGTCTTAACAAGAAGTTGAAAATGTCTCAGCCAATCAGAGGCCATGGCAGCCATCTTGGATTTTCAATCGAACCAAAAAGTAACAACACTTATGCAGGATATTGTGTTGAACATCTGTGTCAAGTTTGGACATGATCAACTCATAAGAAAATCCATCCAAGGGTTCTTGAGAAGTCATTTAAAGAAGGTTTTTACATATGGCCCCTTTTACACCCCTTATGGACCCCAAAGAGGACATAATCACTTTTTCCAACTTAATTTCATATGTCCTTCACTAAGGAATGCTGTCTACCAAATTTGGTTGAAATCGGTCAAAGTTGAATTTTTTATCCTTTTGAGCACCCCCTAGTGGGACCGTTTTTGATCCAATTTTTTTCATTCGCAAACTTTGTAGAACTTCCCATAAGGACCCTAAATAGGTTGATAAGAAGATTTTTTAAAGATTTACCTAATATCACCCCCTTTTCCCCCCTCCTGCGGCCCCTATTGGGGCCACACCCTTTTTCTTCGCAAACTTGAAGCGGCTTTGCATGGGGATGCTTTGTGCCAAGATTAATCAAAATCCATCTAATGGTTCTTGAAAAGAAGTCATTTAAAGAAGGTTTTTACATATGGCCCCTTTTACACCCCTTATGGGCCCAAAAGGGGACATAAACACTTTTTTCAACACAATTTCATATGGTCTTCACTAAGGAATGCTGTCTACCAAATTTGGTTGAAATCGGTCAAAGTTGAATTTTTTATCCTTTTAAGCACCCCCTAGTGGGACCGTTTTTGATCCAATTTTTTTCATTCGCAAACTTTGTAGAACTTCCCATAAGGACCCTAAATAGGTTGATAAGAAGATTTTTTAAAGATTTACCTAATATTACCCCCTTTTCCCCCCTCCTGCGGCCCCTATTGGGGCCACACCTTTTTTCTTCGCAAACTTGAAGCGGCTTTGCATGGGGATGCTTTGTGCCAAGATTAATCAAAATCCATCTAATGGTTCTTGAAAAGAAGTCATTTAAAGAAGGTTTTTACATATGGCCCCTTTTACACCCCTTATGGGCCCAAAAGGGGACATAAACACTTTTTTCAACACAATTTCATATGGTCTTCACTAAGAAATGCTGTCTACCAAATTTGGTTGAAATCGGTCAAAGTTGAATTTTTTGACCCTTTTGAGTGCCCCCTAGTGGGGCCATTTTTAACCTGCTTTTTTTTTTTTATTTGCAACTTTGTAGACCTTGCCATAAGGACCCTAAATATCGAATATGAACTTAATCTGACTTGGTTTATGAGAAGAAGATTTTTAAAGATTTACCTAATTTTACCCCCTTTTTCCCCCTCCTGGGGCCCCTATTTGAGCCACGCCCTTTTTTCTTTGCAAACTTGAAGCAGCTTCCCATGGGGATGCTTTGTGCCAAGTACGGTCAAAATCCATTCCGTGGTTCTTGAGAAGAAGTTGAATATGTGAAAAGTTAACAACGCACGACAACAGACAAATCATGATGGCAATAGGTCACCATGAGCATTCAGCTCAGGTGACCTAAAAATACAGACTCTAAAATAAAACAATACAAATATATTTTAATTAATAAACTTAACAAAAAATAGATTGAATTTCTAAGTTTCATATCTAATTTTCTAATTCTGTGTATGGTCATTGTTCATGAAAAAAAAAAGAATGGTCATTTATTTGGCCTTGCGAAATTCAATGATTTTAACTAACTATAGCTTCAAAGGTTAAATTTTTGTTGCATTTTGTATAAAATGGGAATGATGAGTCAGCAGTTCTTTAATGATATGTTCCTCGACCTCCACTCCACTGGCTAGCTGACTATCTGTCAACTGTATTGCTTTGTGTGAGTCTGCAGATACAACAATAACTTCCTTCTTTCTTGTCTCCAACAGATTAGCCACCACCATCTGAAAAATCATCACATTTATAGCACAAGTTTTCTGACCAAATAAATCTTTTTCTTCAGGTTGCATTATTTATATAAAAACTAATTCCACTGTCATAGTATAAAGACCTAAGATAATGGCTATAGTACATAATGTAGTTAATACCTGGTGGCAGTACTTGGCCAAAGCCTGTTGTGCTTTTTTCACCAGAAGTTCTTGATCTGTTTCGAGCTAGAAAATATAAACAATGACATAATAAATATTAACAAAATGGAGATATTTATACGTTCGATTACCAAAATATTTTCACAAAAAGATTTTTTTGTATACCATTTCATATACATGTATAAAGACTTAATTTCCCAAGTAAATGTATGCATTTTAAAATTAACATTACACCATGAACTTCCATGGTCAATCCAATCTGAATTTCAAACAAAATAGATTTTGTCTAAAATTCAGATTACACATACAATTAGCATTTACCATTACACAATAAAAGAGATTAGAAAGGACTTTCTAAAACGTTGCGTTTTATTGATAACTTATCATCTACTGCCCATATGTTATTTAACTTTTCTTTCAAGTAGCTTCTTCTAAAGAACCACAAAGCCAAGTATTTAACTCCTGTATGGTGAAACTATTAATTCAATCAAAATCAAATCAATGTCCCTTGAAACCCATTTCAGTTTGTTCACAAGAAAATCAAGACAGTTTGGTGAATTACAGCCTTCCAATGACATACTACTTCACCAAGCTGAGACCATCCCCGAATTATATGTATGAAGTACTAATGACTAGTGGTGTAGGACATACAGCCCAGACAAACTTTTTCATTGAGAGGTCAAAGGTCAAAATGAAGGTTAGAATGACTTTCATTTAACACATGTCACACCACCTCATCACAGTGAAACCATGCCCTAAGTATAAAGTTCCAATCATTAATAGTGCAGGAGATATATTTCAGACACCCTTTTTCTTTGATGAAGGTCAAAGGTCATAATGTAGGCAACGTTTTATTAAATTTTGATACATGACACACTATTCCACTAGGATAAATCCATGCCACAAGTATGAAAATCCAGTAACTAATAGTATCAAAGGAGATAGAGCTGCGAAAATTCTTTTTCACTGATGTAAGTCAAAAGTTAAAATGTATGTATGAGTTACCTAATTATGAAATATGACACACTCCTCATCAAAGTAAACCAATACCCCAAGTATGATGTTCCAGTGAAAAGTAGGTGCAAGAGATAGAGCCCAACCTGACTTTTTCTTTGATGTAGGTCAAAGATCAAAATGAAGATCACAGAGACCTACCTACTTTGATACATGACACACTATTTCACAAATTTTAACCCATATCACAAACATGAAATTCCGGTGACTGGCAGTGTAAGCAGTGTAAGTGATAGACCCTGGTAAAAATTGTTCTTTTATACAGGTCAAAGGTCAATACATAGGTCAGAGTGACCTAATTTTGATACATGACACACCAACTCACCACTGTGAACTTGTATCCCTAGTATGATGTTCCAGTGACAAGTAGTGTATGAAATTATCCCGGTGTGGCATGGTATTGTGAAGCACGGGGAAATGAACTGGGACAAAATACCATAATGGTGAAATGAACCGCACCTCACTTCACCGTTATGGTGAAATGAATTGCCCCATGGTAAAGTGAAGCCACTTTGTAATTTGTTTTCAATCAATGTTTCTGCACTTAATTTCTTTTCACTTTGATTAATTAAGTTCCTCATAACATAACAAAATAAAACTGAAAAATAGCAAGGGTGGGGAAATTTAGGGTAAAGCATTTCACACCATAATGGTGAAATGAACCAGTTCACTTTACCATAGGCTTCACTTTATCATACTACAAGGGGACAAGAAAGCTGAAGAATGGACAAGCATAACACAAAACTGTAGTCCTCAACCCTTTCTCTGTTGGGGTACTAATAAATCTATTTCATGAGTTCAGAGTCACTTTTATGTACTTTAACTAGATATGACATGTTTTCTTTATGATATAATATATTGCATTAAGAGTCTCACTCCACTGATAGTATTCCTTTACAAACTTATATCTTGATACAAGAGGAATCATTTAATATACCATCGTTATACCTTTCAAATAAATGCAAAGTTTGATACATTTGAATTATAGTAACTGCCAATGAAATTCTCTTACTATGTCTCATGATGAGACCAAAAATTAATATTTTATCAAATAAGGAAAAACTTACTTTAAAAGAGACAACAAAAGCATTGGGTACCCATTCTTTCACAAGGGGCTGTAACATCTTAGGGACCATCTCAAGGGACAACTGCAAGGGGCCATCTCCAGACTGAATTTTGTGTTCAGGCTATTAAAAACAAAGTTTTGAAGTATTCAATTGTTATTCAATGAAATGATATACATGTAAACAAGAGGCAAATGGGCCTTAATGGTCATCTGACTACCAAAACTTTCAGCAGGGAGAAGGGTTATTTTTTCTACTTTGAATGAAACCTTTCTTAGACACAGTTTTCCATGATACAGCTGTTACTGTAAAGTTGGAGCTCAATCCAACTGGTAAAAAGAAGTTTGAAATAGGTTCTGCACAGAAAAACCATGATTGCACAATCATGAAAATAACAACACTTTGTTGGCTACCTTTCCTTAACATTCCCTCCAAGGTTTAGCTCAATAGCATCAGTGGAACTGGAGAAGAAGTTTAAAATTTGTTTTTTAAGATGGCGGCCATCTTGGATTTCAGACAAACCCAAAAGGTAACAACACTTGTTCAAGACCACCTCAGGATCATTTCATGCAAGTTTGAGCTCAATCTCACAAGTAGAACTTGAGAAGAAGTGTGAAATGTCAAACGTTTACGCATGGCGGAGAGCGCATGGCAGACAACGACAGACAAAGCACACTGGCAATATGTTTTTTACATTTAAGATACACACTTTTTGTATTGTAAATATTTCCTGTAAGCAACAGATCCTGGTTTATAATATACAGTGTACATTTGTATATCACATTAATGTTAGTAGCATAATTTTGTATTTTTTATTCCCGTAAGTCTATGATTATGACTAATCGAATACTATCTTAACAATTTACCATTCTTTCAAAATTCAAGAAGTAACATCTTATACACAAAAGTAAATTACAAATTATTTAATTTACTGTAAATATACTTATTTTGATGCGATCACTTTTAGTGCAATATTGATTTGAACTTTTAAGCACAATGATGAAATTGTGAATTTGCAATGATTGTTCTTTCAATGACATATAGTCTACAGAAATAGCAATTAGAGCAATATTATTTTAGCATGGTATCTTTTGCATGATATTAAGATTACTGCTAAAATGTGCATGTTCAACATTGTTTAGACAGACATTTTTTCAAGCAAATTACAGCTGTTTTCTCAAAATTTCGTAAAGATTACAGGAGCACATACTAAAATAACAAACCATTTGTTCTTTTGGAATGTAAAAGTCTGAGACTGCAGCTGCCAAGTACAGCATGGCTTTGTTGTTTAGTAGACTGACAGCCTGACAGGAGGCATGTAGCAAGGTAAGGTACTCTGACAAGGTTTGGAATTCTACACCTAACAGACGGTCATCACTCACTGCTGCCTGGTGCTTTTCTAGCTGTGTTCCAATCATCTTTTCAAAGTCCTGTTTTACTGTAGAACAAATCATTGACATGTAAAATCCAATGGAATTTCACATCTAAGTAATTTGCATACATAGGTTCTCTTATTTTCTCTTCTTTTTTTTGTATTGAAAAAAGTTTATATTTAGAATCCCAACAGGTATATTTTTGAATTTTCCTGACAATTGATTTCTGAAAAATATGAGTTTCTGTTCATAAGAAATGTCTATTTCTAATATTAAATCATTCTATCACAGGTTGAATTTCTGATCAAAATCAACTGGTTTTGTATAATCATGCATTATCATTTCTTATCCTTTAACAAAGTGAAAAAAATTCAGCAAAAATGTTTAAATTATTACGAACTGATTTTTGTTAGCTACCTTGAATATGTGAGATGGAATCTGCACTAGTTTTAAATTCTAACATGTCAAGGTAGTTTAGATGCGAAAAATGCCTTAGGAAAGGCCTCATGGATCTACTTCGATGAAGAAAAATAACAGCATAGCCCTCCTGAAGGAAATATCTGTTTGAGTTAAGGGAAATAGTATGTTAAACTTTTCTAACAAACATATGGGTAGTACATGTGTGTAAGAAAGAAACAAGCAACATAGATAAAGGAAACAAGTTTTGACTTCTTTCCTACACTCAGGATCTCTTGAACCTGATTTCCAAACACATGCAGATATCTAGCCTGTTACCATTTCATTATAGTCTTAGAGCTGTTTTCAGTACAAATGCACATTCACTTTGAATCCACACAAATTTCTTCTGCAAACAAAGGATACTCAGCTGATGATGCTCCTCTTGTTCCACTGCTGAAATTGTCCAGAAAGCGTACAGTCCGGCTCTCCAAGGGAACTTTGGTCCCACCAGACTAAAACACAGGTAAAATTTAAAGATAAATATCTGTGTATCAATCACTTAATATGTGCAAGCAATTTATGTATAAAATCATGTAGCTTCAGAAATAAAAGCACTAATGCTTTTATTTACGTGTCCTTCAAGTTCATTTTCATAAAACATCATTGTTCAGTAATTTCTATATATATTTGAATCATGACTATCTGTGATTTTTTATTGATATCCGATCCCACCAAGACAAAATAAAACCATGGATAGATATATATATATATCCACTAATTTTCAGGATGTACCGTTGTATACTTATTATTTTCTGCTTCCGTGTTGTATGCATATATATTTCATGTGCTAAACATTTCATTTGGAGAAGTTTTCAAAAAAGAATTTTAATAGGACACATTTTGACAAATTAGTATAATGAAAACAAAAAGAAAGAGATAAAAGAGGGTCTTTGCATCAGCTTTCTTGTGTAGTAGACAGTATACAAGTGCTAACTACTAAGAAAGGAAAACCTAAATATGATTTTGATAATGATGCAACCAACTTTTCAAGAAATAGCTATGACAATATACCTGGGTACATTAATTAGCAAAATCAAAGTTGGACGCCCGTCGGATATTTTATTTTTCCAATCATTCCCAACATGGGCAATGCCCAAATAGAGTCAAAGGGAGACATATGTATGAAATTTGAGAGTGATCAATCCACCAATCCCAAGAAATTTATATTAATCTATACAATTGTCAAAATCCAAAATAGTCACTTGTCAGTTTTTTTATCAGTCACAAAATGGGCAACGTATAACAAGTGGCTAAAGGAAACCTAGAAACGAAATTTGATGATCTACACCATATCCAGAACTATAGCAATAACAAACTAGACTTGCTAGTACTGTAGCTGTCAAAATCCAAAAGGCCGTCTGAACTGTAGGTCATTTGATTTTTTCGGACCACTCCCAAAATGGATAATGTCCAACGTTTTACATATACATGATGTTGCATTTGAAAGGATCGCTACAATGCGAACGTTGGTGATTTTGTACAACGGGCCAGTCCAGGCGACCCGCTGGACAAAACCAAGCAATATATATATATAATATGACAGTGAAGTAGTAGAAGCATTGTGGTAAGCTTATAACCATCTTGTAACAGTAAGCAAGTCTTTTCGATAAAAATGTTTAACCACAAGGAAGAATTCACGACCGTTACCGGAAGTTACGCAGTAGTTTATATAACTAGTGAAAGAGAAGAGTCCGACGAAGAGGACCATAACAAGGCCAGAGTCGAAAAAATACCAAAAGTAACTATAAGTAAGTATTATAGACGAGTCAGTGACGTAAATATGGACTCTTACAGTTATGAGGACAACAAATCTTCCATTCTGGTTTTGTCTAGCTACAAAACCATTCAACTCGGATCGTATGGCTTCGTATCTATCAGGAACAGACACCTGACGTAGAAAATTTGAAACGTTTTCTGCCATTTTTCAACAGGCAACGTTATCGTCACGCTTGTAAAATGTGAACGCAGAAGCGTTTAGTAATCAAACGTAGATGGAACCAAGACTAAAAGTACAAACTTTTGGTCCTCCTTGACAGGAGAGTTATCGTTCGAAGTTTGTTATCTTTCAAGGTTGCCAGTGTAAGTGTCCTATATATTCCTCTCTCTATTAACATATTTAGTATTATTCAATACTGCTTCTCAACGCAACGTTCTCGTTGTTCATCAATGAACCGGAAAACGACAAGTTTGTAAAATGTCATTTTAAACATTTAAACTATTACGAATAAGACAAGATTTTTATCTGGGCCTCTGGACGTAATTTCACTAGTTTCTAGATAAATTAAAACGTTTATTGCGTTTAGAGTTATCGTTACAACTACTATTTACTATTAACTTTTGCACATAGAGGGGTTCATAATACTAGATACTTTTCAATTTCGAATCTAGAAAAGTTATAATGCATAAGATTACCTAAATGTACTTTGATTTATCTCAAACTGAACTACACACAGCATTATAAGTTTCGTTTCATGAACTTCTGAATTTGAATAAGTCGATTGCCTGTAACAAGAATCTGCATCTCAGTTGGTTAGAGTATTGCATTCGGATGTCCCAAGTTTGGATTCAGATCAGGCTCTAATTATCATTATTATTATTAATTTTACAGAAAAAGTCACTGGTGTCAGCCAAGTTATTAGTCCCCTTCCGGTGAAACCGGAGGGGACCATAGTGTTTGTTTGTGTCTGTCCGTCCGTTGTCAGTCCAGATGTTGGTTTCCAGATGATAATTTGAGAAAATATGGATGGATTTGAATGAAACCTCATTTCATATAAGGTTATGGAGTATTACAGAGTTTGATTGAGTTTAGTATCGAAAGGTCAACAACAAAGGTCACTGTTGCTTAAAAAAATAGATATTTTTCATAAAATTTTGGTTTCCAGGTAATAAATTAACAAAGAATTAGGTAATAGATTAACAAAGGATTGATTGATTTGGTTGAAACTAAATGAAATGTCAGCTAATGAAATAGTATAGATTGAGATTAAGTTTAGGGTCAAAAGGTCAACTACAAAGATCACTGTCACTAAAAATAGACTAACATCATCATATTTTTGCTTTTAAATGATAACTTGTGGTAAGGTTGAACAATTATATTGAAACTTGATGCAATCTAATATTGTTAGAAAATATATATGGTTGATTTAGGGGTCAAAAGGTCAACTGTGCAGGCTTTGAAGGTCACTTACAACAATGGACTGTGATCACCATATTTAGGGCCCGGCAATAAAGATGCAGGAAGCAAAGTTTGTCAGAATAACACCAATGTTCAAGGTCACTGTGTCAAAAGGTCCAGGTTAAATTTTACATATTTTCATGCGTATGCTGTCAATAAAACTAATTTTACCCTTAAGGGTCAGACACATTTATCATAGTCGTTATTATCAGGGGGGTGGGGGATCTCAGAAAAACGGAGGAGGTGACCACATGTATAATAGCTTACAAAAACTTAAATCTTAGGAGTTAGGTGGTCCTTTTTCCTGACAATTCTTGGTCCAACCTTTTCCTGATATATTCAAGGCCTACTAAATATACCAACAAAAGAGATCAGGTATTCCAAGCCAAGAACTTTTTTCAGGAGGGATTAAGGTATGGGGTATAAATGATTGTGAGCCCCAGACAATGGAGCTGAGTTGATTGAAGCATCATAGCAGAAGTATGTGATGAATAATATAATCTCATAATTAAAGATTTGTCTGAAAACTCCTACTATTCTTACAATCTTCAATGAACAGTTAAAATGGCTGTTTTTGGAATAAGTTAAAATGCTAAATAAATAACGATAATTTCTCACTGTATTTTTCAGGTGACGATCCTTGCAGCAGGCCAGAAATGTTCATTAGAAGGTATGAAATTATGATAGTGCAATCACCAGGAAGTAACCATGAAGATTTTAATCTTGCACAATTAAAATTATAAAACCAAATAAAGTATTCAGAATCAACAGATAATGGCCCAATGTTATTAATGCTCTTAGCTAAAGGATATTCATGAATAAATTCTTTTCAGAGGATAGCACTACAAAATTGAAGTAAACTAATTGATTTTTTTGTCTTAGGGTTGATAATAATTTCCTTTAAACAAATTCATGTTAAAAAGTTTGATTAAGCCGAAGACATTCAGTTTCATGAAAACAGGTTCCTTTGACACAAATGCCGGTAATCCCTAAATTTGAAGACCAACAGACAACTTTGTCAAGTCAAAACCAAAGATACAGCATTCTGAGTTGAAGATATGTCTGAAGTCATAATTACTACACTGGAAAAATTTATTGTTAATAGTTTTTTAGTATTTTCATGAAAGAAAAAATGATGTTGTATTGAAGAAATCATATCAGTGTTTTCTCATATATTTTACCTGAATATATGATTATTTTATTGACTTAAGGCCCCACAGCAGTACATATTTTTTAGTAGCTGATGTATTTTGGTTAAGGTTTTAATCTGTATTTTACTTTCTGTTACAGGACCTTACAGCGAGTTGGTGTCATTCTCCATCATGTTGTAAGCATAAAAACACCACCCAAACTGAACAATTATATGTATTTCAATTAGTATTTAACTGACACAGGTAAATATGAAAATTCAAGCTTTATCTGTTATTTTGATAATGTCTTGATCAGTTTTCTTCAATTAGGTTAAAATATTGGCTTTTGAAGATAGTGCAGGATTTAGAATCAGTCTAGATGATGGGTTGAAATCATCACTCATAAGCTATATTGAATTGGTGTCGCAAAACTGAAAAAGAAAATTTAAACTTTCATTTCAAACATTCAATGATGAAATATTTTTGTAGAAAATGGCTACACCAAGATCAAGATTTTCCAGCGTAGCAGAAGATGAGGTTTTGTTAGAAACTATAAATAGCACAGGGGTGATAACTCTCAACAGACCTAAAGCACTTAATGCCCTCAACTTAAATATGATACAGAGAATTTACCCTCAGATGACGGTAAGTAAAATTTAATTTTAAACAAAGATTTTTTTTCCATTTGCAGATCATCAGCTTAAAAAGTGAAAGCTTATCAGTAAAAGTTTAAGATTACCTTAGAATGGAATTCTGTCATATTTTATGTAACCAGAACATGTACTTCATTATATAAATCTTCCACCTCAGTTATTGTACTAACTGCCCATTTATAGATACATTCCATCTAATATTTATTACAGCAATGGGAGGAGGACCCAAAAATCAGATTGGTGATTATTAAAGGAGCAGGAGAGAAGGCTTTCTGTGCTGGAGGGGACATCAGAGGTAGAGAAGAATGGAAGGGAAAAACATAGAACAAATGGATCTTTGAGTAAAAATGTGATATCTTTAGTTTACATGATAGTACTAGGTACATTTAAAACATAATGTATCAATTCTAAAGGCTTTAGCACCTTAAAAAACATTTAAGAAATGAGTTTTAGCTTGATTTGCCAATAGAAGCTTTTAGCTGGTTCCGAGTAAGGTTAAAAAAAACATTCACATTTGTTTGATTATTGAATAAAGATAGAATAATGAACAAGTAGAGAGACACATCATGTAATTATTTCAATCAATGAAAAATGGAAACTGAAAATATTGTAGAATTATATATTTTGTTTGATATATGAAAGAAATTTTGATTTTCAGCTGTGACTGAAGCTGGGAAAGTCGGAGACAGCCTTTCTCAGGATTTTTTCAAAGAGGAGTACATTTTAAACTTTAAAATAGGTAAGCATTCAGTAGTTAGATCATGAAATTCCAAAGTCTTGCGGAATCATAAACATCCTTACTATTTGTGGTAATATTCTGGGTAAAATTCTGCTTTGATAGACTTGAACTTTACCACATTTATCTGCCAAGCTGATGTCTGTTAATAAACCCATCTATATCAATTGCTCTTATTGACATTAGCTTTTCCAATGAATGATGTTTCTTTGTTCTTCAATAACAAAAAACTTGATACTTGAGTTATAAATGTTGCATTGACCCAAGAAAATTTGGTAGCTCAAAATACATTCCGTTCAAAATCATATAATTGAATAACGAATGACTTTGATTTCACTGCTATTTGTCATTTCATTAAGTTAGATTTATTTATGTACTTATTGATAAGGATAAATTTGGCCCTAAATCTAATCTAGACAGCTTAATGGTTTTAAAAGTAGATTATAATACTTTTCTTTGAGATCATGCCATGTTCTGCCATACTAACATGTTTGGGCATTAAACTGAAGAAAAGAAACTTGATATTCAAAGTAAAATTTAAACAAGTATTGGGAAGAATGAGGGAAGAGGTCAAGATGGGGTCAGCCATCAGAGACAAAATAAGATACAAAAAATATAATGAGGGACTTTCTGATGTTTTTAGGTCCCTTGTTTGATTCTGTAGTCTGGACATTAGGTTTTAATCTTCTGTTATAATTTGGATTGTACGTATGTAACATTGTTGACATTCTTACTTAATTATTTCTTACAGGTACCTACGATATTCCATATGTGGCTCTGATAGATGGGATTACTATGGGTGGTGTAAGTTCTTAATCTGGCTTTGTTTCTAAGTGAGAATTTACCTCACAAAATATTGTACAGTAAACATATTACTAGCATATTTCTAATTACTTTCATCCTGTGAAATTGTTGGAGTTTATAATATCTTACGTTATTGCTAATTTTGTATCAAGACATTGTACAGATCATATTCATATATAAAATTTTAGCCTTAATAGTGTATACAGTACAAGGGTTTAAAAGGAGTTTGTGACAAAATTTTGTAGTCTATTAAGAAAATTCATTCTTGCACAGTCTGATAACAGGAATATACATTAAAGTGAACATATAATTGTTCCAGTCTTCTTGGGATTGATTTATGTTTTCATTTTGTTGTGTAGGGAGTGGGTTTGTCTGTTCATGGAGACTTCCGTGTTGCCACAGAGAAAACATTGTTTGCAATGCCAGAAACAGCTATAGGTAAGTGGTTGAGTCAGGTGAAAATGTTAATGCATGCATGTTTGTCAGATCAAGTTACTCAGATGATATACGAAGGCTGAGAATTTAAAATTAACTTGCCTTGCAGAGCTATCTGAAAAGAAACTTGTGAATCTTTTTGTAATCTCATTGGGTACACAATGGTGTAATTTGGGAAATGATCAGTTGCCTTGTGTGATATGAAGTTCAGCATGTTTGATGCTCATTTGTATGCCTGGTGGTTCCATTGTTATTAACCTTTTTTTCTTGATTTGGGAACATGACATATGCTTGGACCAGCCAAGATTTGCATGGTGGGCTTTGTTGATGAACCAAAAGACCCTTATCCTTCCAAAACACCTGGTCTTATTTGCTTTGTTGTATTTCAGAGGTCGCCATGTACATATTTCTTTTGTTGATGTTTTGCCCTCATTTCATCAATTCTTACTATGGAATAATATTTTCTATATTGTTTCTCTCTATGTTTGTTATGTACATTCTCATTAACTAATAAATCAGGGATATGTTTTGGATCAAAATTCATGGAAATGATTTCATGATTCCTTTGTTGATACTCTCGCATAGTTTACTGGCTAGACTTTTACATTCCTTAGGCATCACTTAGATGATATTGTTTTTAGGTCATCTAGAATGGATTTATACCAAATGTGGTCTGAAATATCTTTGTGGGAATTCATCAGATTTGTCAGAGCATCATCTGCAAATTCTGTGGTTTGTTCATCCATTTGTCGATGGTCAGAAAGCTGTTCAGGGACATGACCCTCTTTTTTGTAATGAAGAAAATCTTGTGTTATACACAGTATAATGTTTATTGATGTGTAATTCTGATACATCGGTATGTATTCACTATACGTCTAGACAGATATTTTCACAAGATATCACAAACAAATGGCATCACCAAAAACACGTTATTCTAATTTGAAGTTAGGAAAGTTTTGTTTCAGTGTCATTGATATGAAAACAACATTTGTTGGGTCAGTGCTAATGAGAGAATGGGGGTATTTAGACTTAGACAGAATGTATATTGGGATAATCTTGTAAGCCAGATGGATCATTTTTCTGATTAATTTCTGTTGTACAGGTCTATTTCCTGATGTTGGTGGTGGCTACTTCCTGCCGAGACTTGGTGGCAGCCTTGGTGTGTTCATGGCTCTCACAGGCTTCAGATTAAAGGGTCGACACGTACAGAAAGCTGGAGTTGCCACTCACTTTGTCCAGTCTAATAAGGTTTGTACATTCAAGTTGGATGTTACTTGTGCTCAGTATACAGGGAAAATATCTGTACGAGTGGAGAGTGGGGTTGTGGTGGAAGGGCGTGGGCTCACTTTCCGTTTGGGAACAGTATCAGGTGTCTTATTATATTGCAAGGATGGACACAATTCATTCATTAGTGGATCGAATATTAAAGCTCCTGTCATGAAGACACCTGTCAGAAACTTTTACATGAAGTGTAAGTTAGTTGTGCTGGTATCCATTCTTTGTTTCACACTTGCTTATTGTATGCCTGTTAAAATTATTTCATATGGAAGAATATCAATCTTCTTGCTTTCAGATTTCAGAATTAGAGACAGCATTAGTTGGTCTGAATAATCCAAGTCATCACGATATTACTTGTGTTATAGAAGATTTTCAAAGCAAGGTAAGTAACTCAGCGAATAAACCGGTAGAAGGTTGTACAAAAGACAAATAATTATTCACACCTTTTAATACAAATTATCAGTTTGATACAATAGAGCCAAACATTGAATCAAACAGTATCATACAGTTTATGGAACATCTAGGACTCGTCAGTGATGCTAAGGACCAAATTTGATGACTAGGAATGTTTGTTTGCTTGTTTGTTTGTATACTGGTAAGTAGTTTAACTAGGAATGTCTGTTTGATGACTGGTTATAATATATATAAATTAAAGTGGATGGATAAGGAATGTTTGTTGACTGGTGAGTTGTTGGACAAGGAATGTTTGTTTGTTGACTGGTAAGTTGTTGGACAAGGAATGTTTGTTTGTTGACTGGTAAGTTGTTGGACTAGGAATGTTTGTTTGTTGACTGGTAAGTTGTTGGACTAGGAATGTTTGTTTGTTGACTGGTAAGTTGTTGGACTAGGAATGTTTGTTTGTTGACTGGTAAGTTATTGGACAAGGAATGCTTGTTTGTGGACTGGTGAGTTGTTAGACAAGGAATGTTTGTTTGTTGACTGGTAAGTTGCTGGACTAGGAATGTTTTAGACAAGGAATGTTTGTTTGTGGACTGGTAAGTTGTGGTACAGAAGTGATCCTACATGTGTACTGATCAGAGTTGGCTATTGTACAAATGTTGACAAGTTTTTGAGGCTTGTATCAATATATATATACTGGTCAGTCATGATTTATATCTGGGATGTTGTATTGGAAATATTTACAAACCTATTTGTAATTGTCTACATTAATGAAATATGCCTGAGATTTTTCTGACTCAACTAGAAGTTTAAGGGAGATAACTATAAAACAAAATACAAGTTACATAGCATGTGCTCAGTTTCCTTATAAATGTTTACCATATAAAAAGGTGGGGGAAAAACTTCATAAAATGAGTTATGAAATTGATTTTTTCTTTTCTTTTGTAGAGTACTGATATTCCAGATGAAGAATTTATCTTAAAATCAGATATGGAGAACATTAATAGACTGTTTCGTGCTAAAACACTAGAAGGAATATTTGAGGATTTAAAAAATGATGGTTCTGAATGGGCAACGAAGCAGCTGCAAATCCTACAAAAAATGGTAGGTTTCCGTGAGAGTACTTTCTAACTGATTTATATTGACAACAGTTGCCTCTTTCATGAAAAGGAGTTGTTGGGATTGTCTTGGCTGCTTAGTTGTGTTTCGCTTATGACTTTGTATGAGAAACAGAATTGATATAAGGTTATCCCTGAATAATGAGCAGCATGAAGATTAACTGAATAAAAATGATATCAATTTTTTAAAAATCATAATTTCTTATGCCTTTCAAATGTTTTAGAATGGATATCTTTATGGGAAAAAATTGTTTCAGTGTATCTTTTTTCCATTAAGAAAATTAATTTTTATGTGAATTTAAAACTTTTCATGATTTTATCCACAACTCCATGAAGTCTGTATTCCATGAAAATATTAAACAATTTCTTCTTCAGCAATTACTTTAGCTTTGTAACGACTTCAGTGATTTCCTTTCAGTCCCCAACATCCATGAAGATTACATTAAGACAGATATTGGAGGGGAGAAACATGCCCCTCGGGGACTGTTTACAGATGGAGTATAGATTGAGTCAAAGATGTATTGAGGACAAAGATTTTTATGAGGGAGTCAGAGCAGGTAATTAATTATATCAGATTAAGTTTTATACTTAAGCATTTGTCTTGCTATGATTTTTGTCATGGATTTGAATGACATAATTTTCAAGCAAAGTTAAAATTGCTAATAATCATATTCTCGTCAAAGCTTAAATCATTTAGATCTGGCATAAATTCTGTAGCAATGCATTTCTTGGATTTTATGTACATTTTTTACTCATTTGACTGTCTTGTTCAGATTCTGATTCTGTTTAAAGTAAAATGGATTAAATCGTACTCATATTTACTACTGTCTATTTCAATAGTAGTCATTTCAGTGGCACTCAGATTGTCCTAATGACTACAATTATGAGCTATTGAGTTGCTTTTCTTGAAATATAAAGATATGGCTATGACAATATAAAACATAGGATGTATAATACTAAATTCTCTTGAGATTATAAGGACTTCAAACTGTAAATGATAGCAAGTGATTGTATGCTTTAGGTGGTAAGGATTAACACTAGCGTATACAATTATCTACTTTCAGTTACAGAGCTGTTATTTGTATTTTAAACTCCTAGAATCAAGTACACTGTAATGGCAGACATGTCATTGTAGGATGTTCATTTGTAATGAGAGCTCTGTTGTTGGGCATCTTTTTTAACTCCTAGTTTATATGTTGTAATATATCATTATGGTTTATATTGTGTATAAAGTCTGTTTTGTCAGTGAAAAAAGCAGACAGACTGGATTGATATGACAATAAGATTTGACTATATGATGTCTACAACTTTATGATATGTCAATTAAAAACAAATTACCTTATATACAATACAATGAATTTAATATCTGATTGTTTCTGCAGTCCTTGTAGATAAAGATCACAGCCCTAAATGGGATCCTGCAACCATCGAAGGAGTAACTAGTGATAAAGTGGACTGGTACTTTTCTGAACTGCCCCCTGAAAGGGAACTGAGATTATGATAAAAATTCACAGACTTATTGTATGTTAACATCAGTATGACACGGGAGTACCAGGAAGCACCTGCTGAAGGAAAATGTAGGACATGTGGTGGAAAGGCCAATATACTATCAAATGTCAATTCTCTTTTCAGGAAACCTACCAAAATAGATTGGCCATTGATAGGATCAGGTTTATATTACACAAGCAGAATTTTTCCATCTTCAGAGCTCTTCATGTCCAGTCAGTTGCGCATATACTGTGATCTGAATTGTATTATTTGAACATTATTCACTTTCTCTCTAGTATGGGAATGATACAAAGTGCTATACTGTATAACCTTACTACAGGTAAAAAGTTTGTTTTCATAATGCATGTATCACAAATGACAGAGCAATGTCTACCACTCTATTTGTATAAATTGGTTAATCATTTTCACTTCTAATACTTTTAGAATCTTGTGAAATGTTATGTTCAAAGACATGACTTGTCTCTAAGTCCTTTTGAAAGAATGGTGCTAGCACATTGGTGGTGTGTTCTCATTATGTTAATTTTGAGAATGACATACAATAAAACATCATCTAGTCTAAACAATGTGATGTTAAAGATTAAAAAGAAAGATTTTACCTGAGATGTGGTTTAAAATTTTAAAAACTGGAATTATTGTCAGGGATCACATTTACTATTAATTCTTAAATCTCACCCGATATTACTATCTAATTAAATATCACAAATATTTATAATGAATTTTTTTGATTAATGCATAGTTCTTAAACTTTAATTGATTTTACTGATTACATATACATAAAGTATGCATATCTTCACAGTCATATAAAGCTGCATCTTTAAAATCCAAGGGTTAGTTTAATATACACTTCTCTTCACCATTGCTACATACTTGAATTAGGATAATTTATTTCTGGAACTTTCTGGAGCAACAGACTGGCCAGAGAAATCATGTTATAGGGGAAATAGTTTCAAATGGAATTAGCATAATCAAGTTTACACATATTACATCTAAAATCTTATTGAAATTTGTGAGTGCAAATGAAATATATTGTTTGTAGCTCGAGGTCAGTTAATCATAACTTTTTAAGGAATGAATATAATAGGTACTGTACCGAATGCGTCCTTTTTTTCTTTCTTCCTATTAATAATCAAATAAAAATAAATAAATAAATGTGGTTTTCTCCAGTTCTTGTAATATTTCATACTTTATTTAATTATCATAAACTAAAACGTTTTGTATATCTTTTACAGACTACTAACTACTATATTATGCAAATCCATATAAATAAAATTACACATGTCATCCCTGTTATCCATCCATTTCCAAATATACCTGTAAATGTATAAATGTTTTTGAAAAAAAGGTAGGAAATGCCAGTGAAATCATTCATTTTCATGGGGAATTTATTTTCGTGGCTACTTTTTAATTTAAATGTTCACAAACTGTGAGATAAGCATAGGTTAATTTATTGTGCTTTGTTTATCCATGAAATCAGGTGTCCACAAAACAGTATCTTTTTGAAAAACCAAGAAAATTGGACCCCACATAAATATATGATTTTACAGTAAATACAATCAAAATAAATGAAAAGCATGAAAGAAATGCACTTACTTTTACTTAGCTGTTATCTCTATAAATAGCTTAGAGTTGCATAATGACATTGTGGGTCTATAGGTTGAATGATCAAAGACCTTGTGTTTGGCATACAATCAAAATAGCAACAGATCAGTTGTATTACTAATTAAAGCTAATTATATGAATGATCAAGGGAGATAATTAATGTGAATGTTATTAAAATGTATGTTGGAGTAAGTAGGATATTTGATATTCTTGAAAAGGAATTGTTTAAAGTATTTTGTAAATAATGGTTTCTTCGTGAAATCCGGAGCCATTTAAGTAGATTTTTGAGCCTCACATAAATTTATGATTCTACTGTTGATAATGAAAAGATAGTACCCTATTTGTAAATTACATATAAATGTTCTGACACACAAGAACATAGAAAAAATAAGTAATATCAAAAAAGCATTACCCTAACTGATGTATTAGATGTGATTTTTCAGTTTCTGTATTACAATCTTGGTATGAAAGCAGCAGATACATCACTCAGTTTATGACAATTAAAACAGAGTACAGAGAAATTTCATTTTAGTTGGATTTTTCACAAAACTATTAATTTTGTAGATAATGTGAAATAAGATGTTTTGTGGTCCTCAACTTTCATGTTTTTATTACTTTTTTTTTAATTTTGATACATTTGTTTCCATAGACACTTAATTTGGTAGATAAATACAGCTCAATCACAAATTTGTACAATTTTTTTCAGGTCGTGAACACTTGATTTCGTCCATTAAGAGTACCCAAGAAAAGAACGAAAACAAAACCTCCACAAAAATGAATTATTTCACATTTAACAATTGTGTGAAGAAACGTCTATAGTTAGAGTGTGTGACTGACCACAGTGGCACGTTATTTGAGTATGGTAAAGTTAACATCAGTTAGGATATTATCTGAATGTTTGCTATTTTTCATACATCCCTCATAACTGTGTGATACTGTTCCGACTGTTTGACCGATTTTAATAAGTGATCGTGGAAACTGTTTCTATTAAAGTTGATTATTTCTGAACACGATAAATGAGTTATATTTTATAAATCAGATTTAATATTTACTACTGGATGGATCATTCTTAACCTTTAGATAAATTGATTTCTTCATGGTTCCTGGTTATGCTCTGTTTATTTTTGGACTGGTCGGGAAAAATACACAAGTATGTATGCTGTTCACTAAAATTTCTGCTGAGGTTACAATTTTTTACTTCCGTAGTCTTATTTTCTGACAATTTTATAATTTACACGGATATTTCATTCTGATAGATTTATATAAAAATTCCACAAATTAGGTTCCATATGTTTGTTTAAATGGTAAATTGAGGTGTACGATTTCCATTAGAACATATTAAGTAGATGACTTTGTACAGTTCAAAATCACCCCATGTAACCGTTTAATTATCCCCAATGGTATTAAGCTGGACTAGAAAACCTAATTAAAATGGCTGACAGACACCTATTTTAATACGGCATTTAGTTTGATATGGTTGAAATGTATTTCTGATAAAGTACCTGATGGACTGTTTGAAATGTTATGATAAATAGGATGGTCTTAACTATGTGGTCAGCAGTTTGCTGATTGTTGCCGATTTCTTTATCAATCAACTTTATGTAGATTTACCTTGTGAATTGATGTCAATATTCAGTACAACTCGCTAAACCGAACAGAAAAGAACGAGAAAGATCAAACAAATTTTTAAGAAATCCCTTCATTATGATCATGGATTAATTAGTGTGGACGCTAAAATTCCCCTAAATGTCAATTATATATTATTTAGATAGTGGCAAATTATTTATATCAAAGAATCTTTTTGAAAACGATACCCGACCTTGATTTGTGTAGGTAGAAATATGATAACATAAATTCATTTATCGATATCCATAAACAGAGACAAATTTTTGTTTCAGCTGTCTCCGTGTAACTAATTTTTCAGTTCATATTTTGCTTAAGTTTCATCGAAGTTGTGTTTAAGGTGTTAGTATTTTCACTGTTCTTTCTGACCTGCCTGAACTGACGTGGTCTTAAGTTTGAGTTGGTATATATTACGAGGGAGACACCATCAATAATATCCAACAGTTTAAACATTGGAAAAAACAACTGCTGCTAGAAAATGTGTCCGTGTCGTATTGAAACCATGATTCACTTTCATGTGAAGCGGACACGCAATACAATCATAAAAGCAAAAACATGCATGCATAATTCTGATTGTTCGCTGGATTATCAATGAAATCTTAATATATAACTGATGGTATATCATAACATTTATGATTTTGCAGTATAAAGACCGTGGACCATTTCGTATAACGGTGAAAGTTTATTACATTCATATCTTTCAATATTGTCAACAGCTTGCCGTTACGTTGAACAAGGTCTTTTTGAACACCTGTTTATTTTGAAATTGTATTTTCCAATCAATGTAACCAGGGACGTATTATACGTCTCTGATGTAACTAAAACTATTGAAGAGAAAATATATTTATTTACCATATTTGGTCCGAAATTCGTCCTGATTTTGCTGCAGTCAGATATTTTATGAACTGATAATGACTAAACAAAAGATATTGATTACTGGCGCGTCAGTGTAATATAAGGCTCTTTCAGTGTCGGGATGTAGGATAGGGATGTCCCGTCCAAGATGTTACCAAATGTAAACTCCCCGGGTTTTATCATATTTGTGACTTCGAGACTGAAATATCCCAGCCATCACTCCGACGTATGAAAGAGACATTTTTCTCATTTTTTAGTCTAAGCTATATAAAGCTTAAGATATCGACAATGTATCGTCTTGACATCGATTTCAGGCCGTTATATATTTCGGAAGGTCATTTTGTCGAACCATATCACATGAACTATTGACCTGCTTGACCTCGGATAATTGTGGTTGCTGTAACATGTTACGCTTCAAGAAAGAATGAAAGTTTGGGATTTAAAATCATCCATCATAAAACATTATGGGTATATATTTGGGAGGGGGGGGTGAAATGTGTGTGATTTTTCTTGATACACATTTTTACGTGTGAAAAATCCTCCCAGATATGACGAAATAACCTCTGAATATACCCTCAGATGCCAATATTTTATCGCCGTCAGTCAAGTGAATGACAATCGGACATGAAGAATAGGCCACGCCTTCCTTTAACTATTTGGCTTCGGAACATGCACGTCTTAACATTTCGTTTTAATTTTTTCCCAGCAAAATGTCATTCTCGTTCAAATGACGATTTTATGTCATAGGTGTACTTCTGTGTCACTGTAAGCTAATTGTTCAGCGAAGTATGCAATGAGAACAGTCGACCCTTTGAATGAATTAAATGTGTTTTGACCGACAAAATATCTTTTCAAACTTTCATGTGGAAATGAAATCCTACTAAAAGTCTCAAATAATTCCAATAAACATAACAAAACTATATGCTTATGGTTTGTTTCGTATGTAACCAAAGCTCATCGCTCTCTTGCTCGCCAATGTACATGGTTTCCAGTGTCAGGTTCGGGAGTTTCCGCCACTGTCCGAGATCGAGAAATACACAGAAGCAGCCGAAACGTCAGGATTTGACGCGAAACCTGTCCCGGCTCCTTATTTCATAAAAACTGCAATATTTGGATGTACTTATGATATCTGTTTGAGTTTAATTATGATGAAGTATTTGAATACTGTATTTAGAAAATTTCCAGCAAACATTTATGTAATATTGATGACTTTATCAAGAATTTCTCATTGTAATTTATTTTTAAATATTATATTCATACTGATTTTCTTAATTATAACGCGTAAAAGAATAGTTAAAACAGTGTTAACAACTTTATGATATCGAGGAGCATGAATTTTATTTTTTAGGGCCGCTCAACATGGCCAGTTAATAAATACTGAAGGTTCAATCGCATTTTATGATTTATTAAATAGAAAGAAATATCTCAAAGAGCTTATGACAAAGAAAGTGGTGGGGAGAACATTCTTATTTAAATTATAAAAACTAATTGAACTGATTAAAACTAGTTTAACATCAGTTTAGATAATTGCCGCCTTTACCTTGGTTTGTCATGAGCTCATTTTGCCCTTTATAAACTTCCACCATATTTTAATTTATTTCAAAAGCTAAAAGATAGTCCTCTCTAGAATCTGTGTAACTCGGAAAAGGAAACTGCTGTACATTTATACATTCATTTGTGTTTTATTCCAAAATCTAATTCAAAGTTGTCGAAGACTTCATTCATACATTTTTCATTAAATACAAAAGCTCCCTTTTTGGTTTGATCAGTAATAACAAACAACAAATTTTAGAATGTTGACTTTATTTATTCATTTATTCAATTTCAACGTCCGCTATTACGACCGTTCAGCCTTTCAACATTTTAGCAAATTCATTTCTTAATAGATTGAACGTACACTATTACGGCCTTTCAGTCTTTCGACCTTTCAACATTTTAGCAAATTCAGTTCTTAATAGGTTGAACGTACACTATTACGGCCTTTCGGCCTTTCAACATTTTAGCAATTTCATTTACTAACAGGTAGGACGTCCGCCATTGCGGTCTTTCAACATCTTAGTAGACGAGATAGAAATGACAAACAGGTTATTCTGTAATTAGGTGAGAACTTGATTTCTAGTCCTTCCCAACGGTTTTAAACTTGATTTAAATATATCCAGAAAAAAACTGTACCAGTCTCTTACAACTCAAAAAACTCTAAAAAGTGCCTCTTACCAACTAGTCCCGAGTGTTTTGGCTGGATTTTGGAGTTATGCCCCCTTGTTCTGTTGTTGTTAATGATTTTTCTTGTCCCGTTTCTTCAACTCCATTAACTTGAGACTGTAATAAATCTTTGTCAGCTTTTAATTTGATAGACATCACCTTAACAACCGTTTCACCAGACGCCCTAAACACCCCCCCCCCTCTCTCTCTCTCTCTCTCTCTCTCTCTCTCTCTCTCTCTCTCTCTCTCTCTCTCTCTCTCTCTCTCTCTCTCTCTCTCTCTCTCTCTCTCTCTCTCTCTCTCTCTCTCTCTCTCTCTCTCTCTCTCTCTCTCTTTCTCCCTCTCTCTTTCTCTCTCTCTCTTCGTCCCATTCCCTTCTGTCTCTCGTCTTGTTCTTTATCTGCCCTAATGTTGTATGTACATGTGGATTTTTAAGTCATTTACACCTTACATTAATCACTTTTGTTGTGAGCGCGCGAGGGGTCTTACTAGTGAAAGACCTTTGTGTTACCACTGCACTACCCAACCACCACTTGATGATGATGATGATGATGATGATGATGTCTAGAAGAAGAAGAAGACGACGACAACAATTATAACGTAACACCACGGTCTAAGCCCCATGATAACACATTGGTACATTTGGATATGACAGTTTTTCTTTTTTTATTTCGAGAATGGCGTTTTCCACCCACCTCAGCATGAAAACATGACAGGATCAGTGTTTATTTACAAAAGAAACATCACAGATAGGACAACGCCTGGTCACAATGATTTCACGTTTTCTACTGTGTTAAGTCAACCTGTTCTACATTGTCATTTGCTCGAGTGCCAGGTATTTTTCAGTTGTTCCTAGACTGAAGTCACTTCAGGAAAAAAGGCCAGTAGATATGTTTCGTTTTTTACAAACACCAACAAAGAATTGAAGAGTTTTCCAAAATATCTTCTTAACTTCCGAACTTTCACTTGTTACACCTAAAAAGCAGTTATGTTAATATATGTTGGTACATAGTGAGCAGGACTGTGCAGTTGATTACGTATTAAACTTTCATTGTGCCATTTGTTGAGATAAGTGCCAAAAGAGAATAAATACATTTTTACATGCAACAGCCGATGCCGATATATTCTTATGTACACATGGCATTTATGAAAGACGCTGCTTTGAAATTCTTCTTGTTCTGTAAATGTCAAAGGTATCTATTTATCTTTATAGATTGATATTTGTATACGCCACATGCTTTTTTATTGGGCAGATTATCACATGGTACAATGAAATGATCGTCAAAAACTACGAATAAAAAAAATAGGTGAAAATGGACTTTGTACTATGCATTCGCTGTTTTGATGTTTTATCATTCATATGTATTTCCACTATAACTTTATACAACAGTTAATCTGTGTTGGATAATTTACGGAGACCTATTTATCCATCTTTTCTGCAACTCCCTCCCGACCACAAAGACGGGACAAAATAGTACAGATATATTGTCTTGAGAGGGTTTCATATAGAAAACGTTGAATGGATTCAGGCGATTGTGATCCTTCAGATAAGTCAGTGAAAGGGGAGGAAAGAAATTATGTGAGAGAACAATGGGGGAACAAAGTGGAATATGTTCTCTCAATACTAGGATATTTGGTGGGATTTGCAAATATTTGGCGATTTCCGTATGTGTGTATGAAAAACGGCGGAGGTAAGTTTTTTTCCAGAGGTTCACATTTAGTTAGCTATTGCATTCATATGGACTTAGTAATGACCTACGTTTTTCATTTCTACTCAAGTTTAAGTTAAACACTGAAGTCACCTTGTTTTTTTCCAGAGGTTCACATTTAGTTAGCTATTGCATTCATATGGACTTAGTAATGACCTACGTTTTTCATTTCTACTCAAGTTTAAGTTAAACACTGAAGTCACCTTGTTTTTTTCCAGAGGGTTCACATTTAGTTAGCTATTGCATTCATATGGACTTAGTAATGATCTACGTTTTTCATTTCTACTCAAGTTTAAGTTAAACACTGAAGTCACCTTGTTTTTTTCCAGAGGGTTCACATTTAGTTAGCTATTGCATTCATATGGACTTAGTAATGACCTACGTTTTTCATTTCTACTCAAGTTTAAGTTAAACACTGAAGTCACCTTGTTTTTTTCCAGAGGTTCACATTTAGTTAGCTATTGCATTCATATGGACTTAGTAATGACCTTCGTTTTTCATTTCTACTCAAGTTTAAGTTAAACACTGAAGTCACCTTGTTTTTTTCCAGAGGGTTCACATTTAGTTAGCTATTGCATTCATATGGACTTAGTAATGACCTACGTTTTTCATTTCTACTCAAGTTTAAGTTAAACACTGAAGTTACCTTGTTTTTTTCCAGAGGGTTCACATTTAGTTACAATGAATGCTATTGCATTCATATGGACTTAGTAATGACCTACGTTTTTCATTTCTACTCAAGTTTAAGTTAAACACTGAAGTCAGGCTTAGTCGTTTTATACAAATTGTGTATAATCTGATTGAAGACGCGACTGAGTAAATTGTTGAATTGTCACACCTTGAGAATCAATTTAATTTGATGTATTAGGGCAGAAAGACATTTAACATCATAATTGATGACACCAGTGATTTGCTGGTTCGCTGAATTTACTATCCAGCTATAAAACCTGAAGAAAATTATGTCATTCTTTAGTAAGCAATAGTGTATAGATATACACTCATAAAGTTCAACGCACACGAGAATGATGATTGATTAAATATGATATGTATTCTTTGTATATAATCTAAATCGATCATTGATAATGTGATACCTATACGTGAATTTATTTCAGGTGCATTTCTGATCCCATACCTCATTATTCTGTTATTAATGGGCACCCCTCTTTATTTCCTGGAGGCATCTCTAGGACAATTTACAGGGAAATCTTTCAAAGAAGTCTGGAGCTACTGTCCAATAATTCAGGGTAATGTTCACAAAATTGTATTTTAAAAAATTGAAAAAAAAAGAACCACATCGATATTTCGACGGTAAAACATTAAACAAACAACTTTACAAAATGTATTGTTTGCTAATCTTTTCATATGTCCTTTATATCAATTGTGCGGTATGAATATTGTGTTATTTAGTGACCCCAATACTTTTGTTGTCATGGTCACAGTTCACACTGAATGTTTGAATAGCAGTGAATGGAGAAGAAGCAGAACAACATTCGTATTGGTTTTCACTGTCTCCATTTTATAGTCCTCTTTACATTTATATTGAAACGTTGGTATGATTTTGTTCCTCTTTCTTAAAATCTCATTGTGAAGGTGAAAGATAAGATTGAAGTCAAAGGCACTTGGTCAAGCAAAACACATCGAGAAAATACTAGCATGGCAACATGATCATAATTCAAACTCAAATTCTATAAAACTACGCCAAAATTGTTACAAAAGAAAGATTCACACCGAGACTCCTGAAAAACTACAAGGAGAATAAGACCAGATGTTCCGGAAGAGAAAGCGTCTTCTGCTGCATCAACCACACCACCCATGTAAACCTTGGTCAATCCATATAAGTAATGTCACGTTCTCAAATAAGAAAAAGGTATACAACAACGAAACCAACAAACAAGCTGAAGAGCATCTATTGCATCCAGCTTCATTTCACGCAAAGAATAAGAATATTTCTCAGTGAGACATGTAAATAGCATAGGTTAGAGGTGCATGGTTATTGCTATCCTGAAATGGAAAATTCACAGTAGGGAATTGAAATCATTACGTTTGTCATACGTCTTGATGGAAAGCTGTCCAGGTTGGTTTCATTGTAGGAAAAGATCGAGATAAGCAGTCGATGTAGAAGACGTCATCAGAATATCAGAAGGTGAAATTAAACGACCTGTTTTGAAAAGCTCTTCAATAAATTCAGCCTCGTATGAAAACAAAAACAAGTCAGTTAACAAAAGGGGCGCAATTGGTTCCCTCCGGTGCGCCAATAGTCTGTTGGAAGATCTTACCACTCGACAAAGATGTTGTCAACCAGAAACTTGATCATCTTTATGATTTCGTGATTTACGAAATACACTTCAGTATAGTTCACAACTATATATTCATACCGCCGTTCACCTTTCTTGGAGAAGAAAGCTCTCATAACAAGAGAATGAAGGCGTTCCTTCAGTTGAGAATAGGGTATGATGGTGTACATGGTTGGAACATTCAAATGTTCTTATAGAAGAAATAATCTTTAGAAAAGGGTGTTGAAGATAAGTCAAAAGCTTTTTAGAGTTTTTTGAAAATCCACATACTGTCAATTCCACTTCTTGAGTAAACAGTATCACAATAAGACTGTAACCCAGATTTGATAGTACTTAGAATGGTGGTTAGTAGTTTGGACATAGGCTTGGTTAAATAGTGAGACGAGCCAGCTATAAAATGTTGTTTGTATGTATCTTGTTTAGGGATCCAGTATGAACGGGGAAGGTCCGCATCCTTATCATTGATATGCGATCTAAAAGACTGTTATACCGAAGCATGATTAGCTAGTATTTCGTCTTTAAAAATATTGCATGTATTAATGTATAGGTGGGGTCTCCTTCCTTATAAAGGAAGCTCAGTTCGAATACAGGAATTGTAATAATGTTTGCAGACAAGGATCAAGTTATTGGAAGCCTTATCTGCAAGCAGAATAAGATACCAGTTGATTTTCTATCAGTAGTGTATGACTTCCTCTATTTGAAGAGCTACCATACCTAATCATAGAAATAAATCACCTATTCATAGATTAATATAAAACTTTTTGTAAATGATATCATGAGTATTTTCAATAAACGATTTTGAAAATAAATACCCAGTACGTGGATTGGCCACATCGTGAAAAGTTTAAACTTTGATATCATATTTACTTAAACGTTAACAACAGTTTAACAGTTTTTCAACAATCATCACCTTAATCTATACTTTGATCTCTTCTGTTTTCTTTCATACCAAGGAATGGCTTTATGCTATCAGATCTTGTTGATACCCTCCACGTGCTATTTCGTCATGCTGTTGACATGGACAGTATATTATTTCTACACATCTTTCCACTCGCCGCTTCCATGGAGCACATGTGGCAACGAATGGAACACGCAGTATTGTTTCAGTGGTCTAGAAGACAATATGGAAGGGCTGGCGACGACGAACACGACTGATTTACTCAATAGGACGTCTGTTATGAATATGAGCAACATGATTTTCCCTTTAAATGAGTCGTATGCATTGAAGCGTTATAGTGCAGAAGAAGAATTCTGGCAGTTAGTACAATTACGTCTGATGTTTTGAAAACCTAATATTAAATCATATATGAAATCATTTTCGGAAGATGTATGATAGTAACATGTTTATTTAACAACATCAAACAATGTATTACAATTATTTCCAACGGTTGGATTCTGAGAGACGTAACCCAGTTTTCCCTATATTAGTATTGTAGCTAATGATATTAATTACATATATAAGTCTGTGTCTAAGACTTTTTTTTCTTGTAACGTAATATTTTAACGGTAAATCAGTTTAAGTGGATGCTGAGAATATTGTTAGTTGTAGATCTGTATAACGGTTGCTATGATGCAGTTTTGCTTGTATTACATCCATCGTTTATAAGCGGTATTATTTGAGGTGAGTAGGAGTTGATTGCATGTGATTTTGGAAGTTCGATGTGTTCGTGTAAACTTCCATGTGTAGGATTGAAGCCAGTTTATAGTGGTATCACTCTGAACGATACTAAGGAAGGATATCTCACCAGGTCACATTATACTGACAATCCCATCGGTCCTTACTTTATCAAGCAATAAGTAGTAACTAACAATTTTAAAGGGTTTTGGTCATGATGTTTTCATAATGTAATTACTGCAGTATCCCGCCCCTCTCAGCACACAGACAAACGTGAAAGCTGATCCTGTCCCTCTCAGCACACAGACGAACGCGAAAGCTAATCCCGTGCCTCTCAGCACACAGGCAAACGCGATAGGTGATCCCGTCCCTCACAGCACACAGGCGAACGCGAAAGCTGATCTCGTCCCTCTCAGCACACAGACGAACGCGAAAGCTGGTACCGCCCCTCTCGGCACACAGACGAACGCGAAAGCTGGTACCGCCCCTCTCGGCACACAGACGAACGCGAAAGCTGGTACCGCCCTATGTAGTTCAATCTGATGAGTATGCATACTTTGTTGGCGGACGAGGTCACGAGACGTATGACTTCAAAGTGTTACTTCGGCGTGTGTTAGATTTTATATATCTAATAAAACACACATTAAAACGCATTTTGTTTACATAATGATGTCTGACAGCTGAAAACTTTAATTTATTTTGATATCATTGCACGACACGGCTTTATGCAGTTACGTCAATGTCTGGGATATTACATAACCACATACCTACAAAAGTTAAGTGTTATGTTAATTTCATGATGTGTAATTTGGTGATAGCAAATGTATTTAAAATGACACAGTTATTTGTTACATAAGGAAAATTTGTACCCTACCTTTTTATCTAAAAATAACTGCCAGACACGACGGCGAAATTAGATGTATATCATAGCTTTCGGTACTGTTGAGTCTTCATGTATGTAAATGACTACAGGTGTTAAACGGTTGTTCGTATCTTTTATAAACCTGTTTACAAAATCAACCAAACAGAACGCTGTTTGACATGTACAACAGCTCACCTCATAAAGTACATCTACAGCCAATATTGGTACAAATATATACATTTATATATTTACACCAACCATTTCACCTTACCCAGCTATAAATTATATGTTTACAATTATGTTACGTATTCAGGAAATTGTATGTACACTTAGATATCAAAATCCAGATATATGACTGCTTATAGTATCGTAACACATTCGTATCACCAATTGTAGCGGGTGTATTTTGTATCATACAAGACAAAACCGCTGGGTTCTTTTCAAAACTTTAATCATTGATCGATGTAAAATAGACACTCTGAAATATACAATATAACGTAATCAAACACTCTCAAATTCACAAATCTCTCGTTACATAATCATTACTCAACAATTCATGCTTCTTTTATAGACTTGTTACATTTCACATAGTCAAACTATGTCATTACTTTTACACTTGAATAAAAGAGAAGATTCAATAAAATACTTCTGATAATTAAAACATGACCATTCTAATTAGAGTAAAATAACACTTACAACACGTATAGTGCGCTAATGTACAATGTCACAGTCACACCACAACACAATATCACCACATCGTCGTTACAAGTTACGGCGCAACTACAACCAATGAATAACCTGATATTACAATTTATGTAATATCTTAAGAAACACATCACGCTTATAAATCCATCAATTACATGATTTATGGATAATACAATACATACGTGTTCACACCTAATACTGTTCTGAACGTTCAGTTATATATAGAAATATTACTGCTGCAATTACATTCTTCATAAATACAAGCACTCGACGTGAAGAATATAAAAGAAATACTAAATAAAAACAACTAGAAAGAAATAAAGCTAGAGGAGCCTTACCGGAAAGATGAAATCTGAAGACCCAAGACATTTGAACGGCCGTCACAGAAGACAGCGGAGATTCAAATGTACCCGATAAAAGAACGAGACAAAAGACATATACACAGATGAAACTTTGGACCAATAAAACAACACCGACCAAGTCCATCACATGCCACGTGTCCAGTTAGACAGTGAACAGTACTCACGTACACAAGTACATACATACACACTACACAAAGAGACGCGCTCGCCAATACGTATAAACGAGCGCAGGTAAAACGTGACACTAACGATGTGTCCGCGAAAACATAATAATACACATGTATATAACCAGTACATTATATATATATATACTACAATACAAAATATAGCTACTAACTACAGCAAACATTGCCAATATGAAATATCACATAAATATGACATAACATGAATGTTACAAGTTATACAATATATGACAGACAAAATATGACCCTATTACACAATCAAGGCACGTGTCAATTCCCTTTATTTCCTCCAAGATTAAACATCACATAAATAAATAAATACAATCAAAACACAATCGCCATTCAAACAAGAGTCGTATAAATGTACAGAGCAAATATACAGACAAAAACACATCAAGTAAATAATCATACTGGTATAGTTCTTGCGTTCAAACAGTTGATACAGGAATCTTTACTACTCTGGAAATATTCCAAATCTTTTTTATATTTTATATAGCTTAAAGTACCCTCCAACTAATCGTTGATTAAGTAAAAGTCTGACAAATTGTGGAACTACGCCATGAAATTTAATAACTGAATGATACCTTAATTCATCCCAATATCAATATTTTCACAGTGACAAATTATATGTGTTATAGAATCATTGTATAACATACCAATGTAGAGACGCAATTCCTCATGGTTCAACATGAGAGAGCTTACACATACAATGAGTACTTTCTGAAATACATATAATATAGGGTATATATCCCTGTTGTTTTCCGATGTTCATATCAAGCATATATAATCTAATGATAAGCATTCTTTGTACTAACATTTCATGATCCATATTACAAATTCGTCCTATAAATAATGATTTCTTGATGTTGATAAAGGATTTAGTGCTAGTCTATCCAAGCAAAGAGACACACATGTCAGTTCAAGTTCTTTTTTAGAAAGAAACAAAAAGATCACATCCAAATAAAGCAGATAGATAAGCTTTGATTTAGATTAATTCAGTAACTGTTACAGGGTTGAGGGCACTAAAGTGAGCACCAGACCTAAGTAGAAACGTAATACCGGTTTTTTATTTACAACATGCTCTTGTAGTTCCTTCCAGTGAGTTTCTTTTACCCTTCAATAACATTCCCACATGTTTTGTTTTATCAAACACTGATAAAAAACATTTATAAAGGTAGATATTTTGCACGTGATGTAAAGTGCGTTTATCACAAAACAGTACAATTTTACTTTTAGTGGATGAAAACGTAAACTTCCGGCTGTAGTTTTCACATACAGGACCATTTTTGTAAATGTTTAAAATTTGTACTAACGAGAAACATATTGTCCTCATGAGTTAGCATATCTGCTTTTAAATCAATAATCACTGCTCTTTAATCTCACGCCTTAATTTCATTCAGTAATTCGTTTATGAAAATCAAGTACATTTTAGTGGACAGCGATCCGATATTACTTAACATAACTGGCAGTAACAATAACGTAACGCCTCTGTGGCTGTTGGGATCATCTTTTGCTTTCCCCTGCCCATGATACGATGTGATGACTATTCCTTTTTCCAGTGCTTTGAAACCCGGATATATGACTGCTAATAGTATCGTAACATATCCGTATTACCAATCAAGGCACGCAATAAGTATTCGTATTAAAAAGTAGAGGAAATTCAACTTCTTCAAATTCTTCAATTAATTAATAGTTTACATGTTTTTACTACTAAATTGTTATTGGAAACCATATTTATATCAGTCCCGGATATCTGCATAATTCTTCTTATACCTTTGACACATCCATTAAAGTGTATGCTACAGTAATTCGGCATGACGCTAGCATTGGACAGGCGACCTATTGTGTAAACGCATTTTCAAACTGTGTCCTTATTTACCTTATTTAATCAACAGGTAAGGATTGTACAGACACATTTAGAATTTAGAATTTTAGAATTAGATTCAGTGTAAAGCTTGAGTCGAACTGCACTATATAGCTTTGTCTTCCTTCTAGGATGTTATAGGGATTGAAAGTATTGAAATCTACGACTTGGGAAAACCTCGTTCAATGCAGCTATCCCGTAATTAGATAAGATTATTGAAATTTACCGAAATTGGAATTTTCGAATATTGTATAATCAAGCTAACGTAAGGCTTAATGTTGTTGTTGTTATTTTAGCAACCATGTGCTAAGCATTTCCGCTGGACTGGATGATATTGGTTCACTGCAGGGAAGTTTGGTCCTGTGCCTGGCATTGACATGGTTTTTAATTTACCTCTGTGTTATCAAGGGAATCAGGACCTCAGGAAAGGTAATATAACGCTTTATGCTTTTCACGTTAATTCAAGGATGCAGGTTGATGAATATCTTGTTTCCTTGACCACTCGGAACCTCTTGACATATTTTTGTACTAAATCCGGTCCCCGTATAAGCCTTCCGTTGTTCGTATTTTGTACTTGTTCCATTTATTTATCCGTTTGAATTACTGTTTTGTTAATGATTCGAAAATTTCTTTGTTGTTTTTGCAACCTGTAAAGAACTGCACTACCATAAAAATCAAGTATGATAATAATTTTTCCAATTAAGCAAAAAAGATTAGGAAGGCTAATTTCTCCTAGCAAAAAATCATTCATCAAGTCAACTTTCAGAGCAGAAATAATATTCCATTTTAAGGATACAGATTAAATGATATATATATTTTACGTGGATATGTTATGTTATTTATCAGGTGGTTTATTTGACCGCTACACTTCCCTACCTTCTTTTGACCGTTCTGCTCATCAACAATCTCACACTGCCGGGTTCGTTGGATGGAGTAGTCTTTTTCATAAAACCAAATTTTAACTCGTTGGGAAATATCCAGGTAAGCCATTGATGGAGTTTTAAAGTAATTAAAAATCTCTTATGAAACTCTTTGACTTTTTTTAGTTTAAGATTATTTTCTTACCTACACAGGTAACGGCAATGAGTGTAAGTAATTTTTCAACTGAGATGGCCAATATGATTTTTTAAATGTGTATCTGGTTTACATTTATTTTTTAATTGTATCTGCTAATTAAAAATATATAATTATCAAAAAATGTGAAAAAAATGCTTATATCCGTCTAGGTTTGGTTACAGGCAGCTATACAGGTGTTCTATTCCCTGGCGATTGGATGGGGAGGAACAATCATAACACTATCAAGTTACAATTCCTTCAACAACAACTGTCTCAGGTAAAAAGATAGATTCTGAATGGAGATTCTGTTGACATGTTGTTATTCTTGTCAAAGTATGCTTTCCGTGTGTTTCATCATGTAAAGAAACTAAATCTAAACTTTTAACATATCGTATTTTGTTTTATGAATGAATTAACGGAAAGTAAATCATTTGATCAAGATATGCCATAAAAATACCATGAAGACAGTTCTCTCTAAATATCCTAAATTTGAAACAACGTTATATCGCAACTACTAAATCATTTTTTTCACGCTTAGGCATTGCAATTGTTTAACTCTCAGAGATTCTATTCTCCTGTCGATTGCCGGTGAGGGTTCCAGTGTATTCGGTGGATTTGTAATATTTTCTGCTCTTGGATTCATGGCACATAAGGCAAATGTCCCTGTTGGTGAGGTTGTCAAGTCCGGTATGTCAGCAAATGCATTAATAATACCTATTTTAGAAACACACTGTGTATGTTCATCACGAGTCGTCCAGGTGTTTTATGGACGAAATCCTATTTTTCATTTCATATATAATCTTATGAAACGACGAGTCCTAAGAATATTTCATCAATTCAGGAGTTTTGTTGCTATTATTTACCGGGTTTAAGGAAGCATGCTTGTACTTTGAAAAAAAATCATATTTATAACTAATAATTTGGTAAACCTGTATTGGTTTTTCATATGGTAAAAATACAACCAATTCCTACATTTTAACGTTGTTTTATTCCACGGCAGACGATTTTTATCTTCAAAATTGATCTATGGTTCGCTTTACAAATCGAATGTTAGAAACAATATATTTCTTTACGCTTGAAAAAAGTGATCATTCTAATATTTCATAGGTCCAGGTTTAGGTTTCATGGCCTACCCTATGGCAGTGGCACAGATGCCCCTTCCCAACCTCTGGGCAGTTCTGTTCTTTCTCGCCATGATGACATTGGGGGTTGACAGTATGGTATGATCAAGATATCAGAAAACTTCATCAAAGGAGTAACATTTCTTTAATCCTAGAAAACGATGACATTTTGTAGAGTGTAAATCTACTAATATGAAAGAGTTTTAATTGAAAAGTTGTTGATTTCATTACCTTTTGCTCGGTATTGTACATTTTGCACCAATTTGTGAAATCCTTTTAATCTTTCTACAGCGATAATAGAGTTCATGTAAAAAAAAAATAATGCTAAAATAAGTTATTCATGTAAGGATATTGAAATATATCTTATTTTCTGCGGTTAGAAAATACAGTATCTTGAATGCATCTTGTCATGGCGAGCTCTACTAATATGAAAAAGTCTTAATTGAAAAGTTGTTAATTTCATAAAACAATGCACGGTATTGTATATTTTGTACCAATTTGTGAAATCTTTTGAATCTTCCTAAAGCGATCTATATCATGAATGCATCTTGTCATAGCGAGCACATGATCAATTAAAATGTATGTCGTACGTTTACTTCGTTGCTTATTAATTCGTTTATTTGTAGTTTACGCTTGCTGAAGTAATATATGCGTATTTTGAGAGTTGTTTCAAGATTTTGAAGGAAAGACAAATCATTTCAAGGGCATGTTTTTCATGCCTTGGCTTTTTGCTCGGATTACCGTTTTGCACGGAGGTAAATAAAGGTCTTCCATATGATCTCGACTTAAATGTGACTGTTGATGAGCATTAATAGTATATTGAATGCACTTCCAGTATTGATATCTCAGATTCAAAATACCTTAAATGATGTCATTAGAATAATATTGTGTCGATTGCAGGTGTTAGGTCTGACAAATGTATGAAACAGATATTAGACGGCTTTATCATGCAATCACTTATAGAGATACAGTTTATGAAATTTATATTTCAGGGTGGAATATACATATTCCAGCTATTAGACTGGTATTGTGCTGCCTTTGCTCCGCTTTTCTGTACCATGGTTGAATGCCTATCAATATCCTGGGTGTATGGTATGTCTAGCTAATATCCGTTTTAAATGTTTTTTTTTAATATTTGTTGAATTCGTGACATCTCGTTCAATTGATTTGTATCATACACTCGTAAAGTCTCGTGTGAAATTAGAAAATCGGTTTAAGAACAAGTTGTTTCATTAAAACTAACGCTTAATCCTTATTCATATTTTTTATTTTCTGTATATCTTTCATGTTTGCTATCAATATTGTTTGAAAAGTTGAAACTTTAAAATCACATTCTGATTCGATGTTGCGTGCATGATACAGGGATCTAAGCTTAAATGTTTCCTTTGGTGAATTTCATAATATATATTCGTCGCAATAAACTTAATAAGTTTTGTTTTGCTACAATAAATATGTATACAAAACCATAATTAACTATCTAACTAGCCAAAAAAAGGACGTAAATAAATAGAATATATAATCTATATCAAAGCACGACTTTCGACACAGATAAGTAAGAAAGCTTCTTCGAAATCAGGAATACTGCAGTGCATAAATGTTATATATTCAAATGTAATCAATAATAGTTTAACATATTCTTGAAGGTCTTGGTGATCTTGACATTTCTCTTTTCTGTAACCAGGTGCCGAGCGATTTTCGAGGGACGTCGAAATGATGATCGGGAGGAGAATACCTGCGTATATCAGGCTATTTTGGTGTTTTCTTGCCCCGATTATCTTGCTAGTAAGTCACATACATATTTTGATCAGTTTAAATTTTAAAAATAGCATGTAAGTCAATCCCACAGACGCAATGATGATTTTGAATACAACTTTTTTGTTTTCCTGTTGGTTCTGCTGCTGTAGATTTTGTTCTCATTTGGGAATGTGTCATTACTTACTTGGATTTATCAACATTTACATCGCGGGGCTGATTGATAAAGTAGAAGACACTAACATTTCCAGTATTTAACTCTGTCGGTCTTATTTTCCCCTAGCTTTATTTAATTTGATTTTGTGTTATGATTCCGTTCAAATGTAGATAACTCCTTGTCGTTTTCGCTTTTAAGTCAATTACTTACATAATTTATTGTTTTATATCTTAATTCCAGGATACTTTTTTTAATCAACTCCTTTTCTTTGAAATTATTTTGCGAAATGATTCAGTTGACCTGTTTAGATATATCTATGCAAGTTACGTTTGTCAGTTTTTGTTATTGTATTGTGATTTGTATGCAGATGTTGATGGCGACAAGTTTGTTGGCATACGTGCCGCCTATATACGGGGACTACGTATACCCGAGATGGGCCGCGCAGCTCGGATGGGTGTACGCCATTTTTCCCATAGTGCCAATCTTTACTGTAGGATTGAAAGTCGTGTACAAATCAACAGGGGAAACGGTGTGGCAGGTAGACTTATGTTTGTACTGAAAATTATTTTTATCAAAAAATAGCATCTTAATTTGATATCTAAAATATTTTGATAGAACGAAGGATATATTATGAAATGAAGATTTGTATCGCGTGATTTGAAATAGTCCTTTATACTTGTCTATACGATATAAAGCGTTTTCTCCTTGTCCGTTGTTTCGTGCGTCTGACAGACAGTTACCATATAATATCTCCGCCTGACCTTCAGACTTAGTAAATATGTATATTACAAGATGTCATGTGGGCGCGAGCCAAAATTAAGGCATTTTGACATTTTTTCCCTCGTTGGATCTTTTTTCTGTCATGGAAAAATTTCAGGAGTATATTTCAACAATGTTATTTACTGAATTATATCAAAATTTTGTAATGAATACAGCAAATGAGGAAGTTGTGAAGTAAAATGTAACTATTATGATGTTATTTGACCTTGTATATTATGTATATATATAATATTTAGGTATACGTATACACAATCACTTGGCCATGTGCCTACCTTTGACGCCAGGTACATGTTGAGTTCGATTCATGTTCAGACTGTTGTTTCAGGTATAGATATCAGACTAAAAATATCTTATTAAACTAGAGAAAAAATTTTCGAAAATTACGTATGCAATTATAAGCTAAAGGCGTCGATCTAAAACCAATATTGTTATTGTGGCTTGTATTGATCATTTTGATTACTGACAGAAGTAGGGACCTATTTTATGCTGATATAGAACCCCTAATGCGATACAACATGTACTTTGAGTTTTCTGAACTGAACCTTGAGCTATAAGATATCAGTCAAACACTAGTAGCCATTCTGCTACTTTATAATTTGTATACTCGAAATCTGTAGTTAAACACGATATTATCATACATTTTAAATGTATTTTACAGAAGTTACAACAGTCAGTAAAACCTACATCAGATTGGCGCCCAGCAGTGGACAAAGGCGATTATCTGTATCTTACTTGGGAAACTAGCGGTACCGTCACACACAGAATTCTATCAAACCTCGGATTTAGAAAGAGGAATATTGTTGTTTGAACTGAAGTTAACCTTGAGCCAATCAAACTAATTACTAACTGAAATGATATCGTAAATGTATAACAATTTTACAAACAAACCAATCAATTAATTTTCAATTGCTCCGTGCTCCGTGTAATTACTACTGGTTTTAACTATATGGTTGAACGAGAACCAATACAAATAATTCCTTGTCTATATTGTTTGTCTTATTTACTTCCTCTCTAATTGTAGCAACAAATGTGTTCAACAGGTTATGATATAAAATGTACTTAACTCTTTATGTATAAACTCAAATACACAACATCAAAGCCAACGGAGTTAGTTCAGAATCCTTGATCACATACGTCGACAACTAATCAAAATGATTGGATGTGGATCACGTGTTTAGCAAATTTTCAGATCTAATCATTGAATGACTGAAATGTACATAAAAAGGACCGACCGAGAGTACTTATGTTGAGAGTGTTTGTCATAAATTCTTATGAATGGTTTTGTTTTAAATTAGTAGGCGAGATAAATATTATGCCTCATCACCAATAAACATGTATTTTTATAGCTATACAGTACACATTAATAATGTCAAGTTATTCAGTAGCATGTTGTTAATTCAACCGAATTTTGATATGTTGAACGAATCGTTAGAATTAAAACAAAGACACAATTATTTCTTCAAATAATCAAACTACATCACACAGCAACTGTTTCTAGGACTCATTAGTAATGCTCAAAATTGTTGAATCCTAAGAGACGACTGTAGAAAAAAATGAAGTAAGCTTATACACTTGTGGCGTAAAGTTTGGGACAGAAAGTATTTATAAGTATACAGGCATTCTAAAAAGTCAAGGTATTTTCTTCTGAGAATGTGAAGTGATCACGCACTCTGTCCAACCGACAACCAAATAAAAGGTGTGATATAGACGTATTACAATGTAGCATATACATACATATATATAATAATGCACATGAAACATATCGTAAACTAAACTATAGTAAAATCGTATCGACTTTTTGTATCGAGTAGAGTTACAGAAAGGTAGTGAACGGAGGAATCAGACCGTGTTCACATCATTATATGAATCTTATGATGTGAATCGTGTTCTGTCTGTATTTCAAACAAATCTTAGCACGAAGAAACGTGTGGATTTGTAAAGGACTTATTGCATTCGAAGCTGCGGCTGAAAGGTTTGTTCTGTTTTAATCTTTTTCTTTTGCATCTAGTATCTGTTTATTCAAAGCTGAGAGTTCTTGCAAAAACCGTAATATGTTGACACTTAAGGTCTAAATAAGTACGATAAACATGCTTGCAGGGTCAAACCGCAATGTATGGTACAGATATGTTATATTTATTGCAAAATTTTAATTTTCCACGGAGAAACAAACTTTTATATATATCTTATTTGCTTTGGTATACAATAGTGTTTATTTTTTGGCTGAAATATACAAAATGTGGAGAATCAATTGTATGCCACTACTAATATGAAAGAATAACGTTATACTCCACCAAAATCGGTATGAATTAACCATCTCATATATCAATACCACTGTAAATTGACTTAATGGTTAACATCCTACCTAAAGACCACTATCTAGCGAAGCTCACAATGGGTGAAAAAGTGAGTTAATGTATATCTCCCAATCTCTGCCTATATTCAGGCAACACAGCGGAAGAGGATGGCTTAAATCTCCGCATCTTAAAAGGCTTGGTTTTGTCTGTCCGATGTGTAGAATAGAGTCGTGGTCGACTGAGTTCATTTAACTGGAGTCAACATGTTGACCGATGGCAATATTTTGAGAAGGGCTGATTTAATCGAAAACATGGCTGTATATACTCGGACAAAAATTATGAAGACAAGCGTTGAATGTATTGATATTGCTCATTCAGAAAAAAATTGCTCTGTAACACTGAATTATAGGTGATAAGATATCATACAAGTAATTTTCAATCTTACCATTACCATCTCATATGCATAATGAAGTCATATATAGACACACATAAGAATGTATGTATGTATGTAAGGCGCAGTAATCAATGGAAACGCCAGCAGCATATAATCTATGAAAACACAGAACGATTAGTTTTTCATCATTCCAAAGATCTTCGCCGTTGTAATGGTCTCCTTATATCACTCTAAGTTATATCGATTTTAACCAATATTAAAACAATAACATATTTCAGCTAAAATTGCTATATCGTTTCATCTGATAGAAAAAAACCCGTTGATCTAGCGTATTACTTGTATGTTTTCTATTGAGAATTATTTAGATTAGGTATGATTTTATTGTAGGGTTTAACCATGAGCTTTCTCGAGATCTGATGGGTCAAAAGGTTAAAAAGAAAACTGATATCAAATCATTAATTTTGTTTTACTTTCATAACATTTTCAAAACGTCTTTCGATAAAAATATTTTATATAACCGTCACATTCCTCCACGATGATTCATCATCTGGCCATGCTTACATAACATCTCTGTTACTCGGTACAGTCCACCTTTCAGCCTTAGACGGGAAAAATGGATTCCAACAAAACGTTGCAAAAGTCAGCATCGGAGGAGAGAATAAATCCCACCAAGGATCAATGGGGAAGTAAGATAGAATATATTCTAGCAATGCTAGGATTTCTGGTGGGATTCGGAAATATGTGGCGATTTCCGTATGTGTGTATGAAAAATGGCGGAGGTACATGTTTTCTTTTTTGATCTATTTTTCTTTTCATATATTGTTTCTTTTTAATTTCATTCATTTGAAAACGTGGCTGAGAGAATGGTTTGGATTTTGTATCATATTTCATGCACAGGCACTCGAGGCCAGGATATTATTTTTTAAACATTGATTTTTGTTTTAGCACTCATGACTGACGTTATTTAAACGAAATATCAGCAGAATTCAAGTTTATGTGCCGGTTGACAAATCCGAGGTCCACGGTCATTAAAAATACACAAGGCAAGCAACTCCAGATTTTAAAAAATCGACCCCTCGCTTGGAAACTGGCTCAAAAAAAGTAGTTATGATAAGTTCCTTGTAAAACAATATGTATCCATAGGTAGTGTGTATATTTACCTTTTATTTGGTGCATAACATTACAGGCAACGAGAAATTCACAATACGTACATGAGATTAACATCTCAATAACCGGAGATTTTATCGTCCATGTAATTATCTTTGACGGAAGTAACATGCCATTTCAAGGGCGGTCACTCCGACTTTTTGGGAGAGGAGTTCCGGATAGCACTATACCAGTGAACAGGTAAGAAAGGTTCCGATGTCATTACGCGCGTAACTTCAAAATAGATATTCTTATTTCTACAAATACATTTGCGGGGATGGAAAAATAATGGCTGGGCAAAGAAAGTCCACAGTTGCCAACTCGGATACAATATCATGGTAAGGGATTATACAGAATGCATCAACTTTCAATCAAGCTGGCGGTAATGAGAATTTTTTTTCAAAAAAAAAAATAGAAAAAAATCATGCAGATAATGAAAAAAGGGCGCAATTTATGAAAAATATCGTGGGGGAAATATATTAACTTAGAAATTGGAAATTAAATGATTTTTTTTCTATTTTTTTTTATTTTGAAGTTACGCGCGTAATGACATCGGAACCTTTCTTACCTGTTCACTGGTATAGTGCTATCCGGAACTCCTCTCCCAAAAAGTCGGAGTGACCGCCCTTGAAATGGCATGTTACTTCCGTCAAAGATAATTACATGGACGATAAAATCTCCGGTTATTGAGATGTTAATCTCATGTACGTATTGTGAATTTCTCGTTGCCTGTAATGTTATGCACCAAATAAAAGGTAAATATACACACTACCTACGGATACATATTGTTTTACAAGGAACTTATCATAACTACTTTTTTTGAGCCAGTTTCCAAGCGAGGGGTCGATTTTTTAAAATCTGGAGTTGCTTGCCTTGTGTATTTTTAATGACCGTGAACCTCGGATTTGTCAACCGGCACATAAACTTGAATTCTGCTGATATTTCGTTTAAATAACGTCAGTCATGAGTGCTAAAACAAAAATCAATGTTTAAAAAATAATATCCTGGCCTCGAGTGCCTGTGATTTCATGTAGGGCACGACTGTTAACGAGGCCAGCACCTTTATAGAATTTTAAAAAGACAATGTTGAACCTAATATTATTATTTGGGTGCAAAGCCTACAAAATCACGTAGGTTTTAATGTATAGAGAAATAATAAATTTTCCACAATATGAGATGTTATTTAATATATGTCCCTTTATTGTAAGTGCTTGTTTATGAATAATAATGTGATACCTGTTTGTGAATGTATTTCAGGTGCATTTCTGATTCCATACCTCCTTATTCTGTTATTAATGGGAACGCCTCTTTATTTCCTGGAAGCATCACTAGGACAATTTACCGGGAAATCTTTCAAAGAAGTTTGGAGTTACTGTCCATTAATTCAAGGTAATATTCATTTTAGATTGACTAATAATGGAGTTGTCTAGTGATCTCATTGACAAATATTCTATTTATTTGTGCAATATGAATCTGGACGCTTTTGATATATGTTAATTTGCCTCTTGGTTCCGTTGTTGTATACTTCGTACTCATTTGAAAACGTGACATTACTTTCTTGTAATGACAAATAGTTACATGGTGGGTGTCGTCGATAAAGCAGGCAGAAATATTTTATAATCAAAGTCATGAGCAAAATTGAACAACAGATACAGAGAATGGTGATTGTGTTTTGGAAAATATTTAGCCTCCAAACGTTTGTAAATTGATATATTCATAATGATCTTCGTTGAATTGAAGATGATGTCTACGGAAGAAATAAGTCTTTATGAAACGTCATTGCATCACATCACAAAGAGTTTCTATAAAAACATGCAAATAGTAATAAATTTTGTTCATGTACATTTCACGGTCAAAATGTTTTAAAATTCTAAACATAACGGCATTCATATTTCTAAACAAAATAGTAAGTTTAAATCATAAATATTGCGGGAATATCACTAAGTTGTCTATTTAGGAAATAACATCAATTTT